TTACTAACTGATGATTAGAAGACCACATCGTGTCCTCTGGGTGGCGATAGGCCTTGATGTTGAGTCAGATGACAGAAGGAATCAACCGTCCTAGACTGGGTCAGACTAATTCTCATAGTTGAAAGCATTAAGTTAAGTTATTTATTATTTAAAAATGGACTTCAAATGCTAAAAAATTTGATTTCTATCAGTGTTGGTTTTTTGAAGGCTCCTGAAAATTTTATAATGAAACTATGAGTGAGGTAAAGAAACATCAACCGGCCGATATATTGGTCCAATTTTAGCTTTTTTCAAAGCATCTTTATCGGCCTATATTTGTTTCTTTTCACCGATTAATAATTGCATTCATCAACCATGACTTGAGATCATGTGAATCACAGGCAATGCATCTCCCTCTTTGCTCTTCACTGTTACTTATTAGTTTAATTTGTTAATAAAGTTTTTTAACATTTGTTTTTATTGCATCAAATTTATCATGTAAACACAAGGGAGAAAAGCAATATCTGCTCCAATAAAGGGCCTTAAAAAACAGCAGCACATATCGGAGATTGGTTGGACTGATGTCAGAATAATCAGCATTGGTCTTTAAAAAAAAAAAGAGGCTGAGGCTAGATATCATTTGGTTACTTGTATTTGAACAAAACATGTACTGCTTATATACTAGATTTAAAGAGATATAAAAGACATCCACTGGTAAGTTGTGGTGTCAACACTATGCCATTTTTATGGTATTTCGTGTAAGTTCGTATTCATACAGTTTTGTTTGAACTATGAAATACAGCTCAACTATACCATCAAGGTTCTCTCTGATGCTTGTAGTGCCCCTTTACCACTGGCAGAAAAAACGATTTAAACCCGGGAATAATTGGCTTTTTGTGGCAGTGGGAACAGCTCACTGATGCTTGTCTAGTTGGATCAAACGACCCGGCAAGCAACCCGCATTAAAATTGTCTCGGCTCTGATCAGCATGCTGTGGGAACACCAGACCCGGGTTGACCTGCTAATTTACATGACACCATTGAACGCAACATGCGGACGTCAACACACCGCACCATTCCCATCTGATCTAACAAGCCGAAAAAACCATACGTTTGATAAAAATGGAGCAGCAATGGTGAGAGGAATTCGGACAGATCTACACCATTGCTTCCTTACATGTTGCTCTCCATTGTTTACTTTCCTGATTTCTGTTGCAGTGCTGACATCTTTAACGCTAAATTAGATGTTGTCATCAAACAGCGACGTCGGGGGGATGGAGGCCAAGCAGCTGCCATTGAGGGGTTAGACCAGCTTTTTTTGCCAATAGGAAGGGAGCCAAATGCCGATTGTGAGCAAGTCGACCATGTTTAATAAACATCAGTTGGAAAGAGGCTTAGGTCTGTTGCAAAAGATACTATACATGCCAATACACAAACCTTTTTGTAGTCATTCCAGGTTTATCAGAGAGTTTCAGTCGGGGAGGTATTGATAGATGGATAGACCGCGGAAAGTATTTAGTAGTTTTTCCAGGTTATCCTCCAGTTTTGTATGCTGGTGAAGATTCTCGGTCAGTGGACTTTGTTTCAAAGTTTGAAGACATTTCGCTTCCCATCCAGGAAGCTTTTTATTACAGTATTATACAGTACTGTCTAAAGCCTCAAACTCAACACTATTCCTGACATTTTGAATTGAAAAAGCTTCCTGGATGGGAAGCGAAATGTCTCCAAACTTGGAAAACAAAGTCCAGTGGATTGCTTTTTATTTTCCTTTTTTTGGAGGGACCTCCAGCTTCGTGTTTCTTGTATGTAAACTATTTCAACTAATTTAAGGAATGTGTTCCTAATAGGATTGTTTCATGTAGATTTGTCACACTTTATGACACCAGGGGTAGATTCCCTGCTAAACGTTTTTCCAGGGAAAATAGAACAAAGTTGTGCCTATTTGAGTCCTTCCAACCCGAATAGGACTTGGCTTTGAGAAATGAAGGCAGTAAGCTGTCCTCAGTGATTAATTCAAATGAGCTGAAGCATGAAGCCCACAGGAGCGTTGCTTGGATAATTACAGCAAAAAAATACGAGAGCAAACGTTGTCCTGCTGACAAAATCAAAGTCACCGAAACAATTAATGAAGCCAAAGAAAGCTTGTTTGTTGTCTCTGATTTCCCCAGATTGTAGCTCAAGGAGGACAGCTGGGATTTTACAGTTTTTTTTTGTTGTCTCTTGATTTTAGTTGTTTTTAAAAAAAAAAGTCCAACATTTATTTATGAAACAGTCTTGCAGTGTGGTTTTCAAATCTCTGAGGAATGTTGTCAGATCTCGGAGCAGCAATCTCTGGTTTTAAACCCCTTATATTTTTCCTCAGGAAAAATGACTTTCAGCCTCGGAGACTCACATTTCAGCTAAATGTTTGGCCTCCTTAAAGGATATAATGTCTCACTGCTTCTTTGATATCAAGGGAGCTGAATGCAAGCCTTGCCCTTAGGTGGACTGGTATCCCAAAGATAAAACAGTAAAAACAATTCCTCTTACTGATTTGTTTTACTATATTCGGCAGACCTCCTTCTATTGGAATATTTTTTATAATTCAAACTAATGATTTTTTACCCCTTTTCTTTGTACATTGTTTTTTATTCCTCATAGGGCCTCTAAGCTCCAAAGTTCCAATAAACTTAATGAATAATTGGATCAATAGAGGAATAAATTTGATGTGAAATAAACCCGGCAGGCTTGCTCTGCAATATTTCTCCCTCTTTACAGTCATTTAATCGTTATTCTTAAATGCATCCCTAATGACCTGATTGACTTACAGCTGTGAAGCACTGTAAATCAGAGAATTATGGCTCCTTGAATGTTAGTGCTAAATATCAGCCACTGTGCAGGGGATGTGTTGAATTTTATTAGTTCTTAACTGCAGAAATATTCTGTTTTAAATGTTCGTTCCCCTTTCCTTACCCCTACTGTGCACTAAAACAGCTTGAACTATATTATGCTTAAGCAATCTACTGCTATTTGAAAGAAAATAGGCCTGAACACCCAACATACACTTTAACTACCAACAATCTCATGAACCGTCTATACGCAATTTTTATAATTACTTATAAATTAGAGTGCAATACTCTAATGTGCATTCTGTAAATTTCTGTGTAAATGTTCTTGTATATATTTTTTCTTCTGTAACTGCACAGTCCTTTTATATATCAGTCCTTTATATTCCAGTCCTTTTTATTGCACTATTTACCTGCACTGTTTTGTTTTATATTGTTATTGAGCTGCTAAATATTCCATTGTACCCTTGATGAACAACCCCAAAAAAAGACTTCTGACTCTTCAAATTGTGATAAAATGATAGTCTTTGAGCCACAGCTCTCGCAAACCCAAATTTGTGAAGCCTTATTGATAGAAAAAAAAATGATTAGGAACTTGACCTCTTGCCCCAGCAAAAAACAAAATGCAAGCATGAACTTAGTTTTCTGTTTATATTTTCTTACATTTTGTCGACCATATGCATTATTTTTTTACTTCTAAACTAAAGGCTCCTTCAAGGTCCTCCCCTGATTTTTTCATAGTGAACATCTGTTCCCTTCTTGATATATAGGTCATCACTTAGCTGATACACTTTGTCATTTTATACAGCTGAAAGAAATTAATACAAAAATTATTCTGCTTGCTTGTGTTTGAGCAGCAGAACTTGAACTGGAGTCCTCCATTAGTTTATTGCAGGAAGATGACAAGGAGTACCGGAAAAAATTGAAGGATTCTGAAGGAGACTTCAGTTTAACTGTGATGGAAAAACAATGCGAGTGACATTGTAGCTGAAGAAATTCTGCCTTGACTCTGAAATCATCTCTCATTGAAAAAATGCTGCAGATAAAAATTACAGCAACATCATAAGATTATACTTTTTAAAGGGAACTTTGTTTGAATTTTAAATGACTTTTCAATGTTTGTTTCTCAATGTTTAGTTTTTTCCATGTTTGATATTTTAATGCCAAATTTCTCAATATATATGCAAGCTGTCACTGATTTAGCCCAATAGGTTTACAGTTTATTTTGTACACACTCCAGAACAGCAGATTTAGTTGATCAAAAAGATAACAAGTGCAATACTTTGCTCTAAACTGAGTAGCATTAGCTAGTATACATATAGGAGAAATTTTAGTTTTCATGATGCATATTGTTGGTGAATATAGTGGCTATAAGGCTGCAAGTGTTGCCCTATAGGGCATGCATTTTTTCAGACTCAACTAAAAAAAGACACCTAAATTCTCAGATTATGCAATAAAAAATATTCTGAACCACTTAATGAGCTAAATTGGACACATTTGAATTAAAAAAGCTTCCTGGAGAGGTGGCGAAACGTCTCCAAATCTTGGAAACCAAGTCCAGTGGATATTTTTTGAACTTTTACGGAATAGGTTGGACAGTTTTCTGTATGTTTTCAATGTTCTTGGTTAATAAAGTTTCATATTGTTGTTATAAACTGACTCTAGATAAATTAACTTCATTTCAACCTCTTATAGCATGTTTTGAACTCAAGACCCAAAGGGCAAAATCCAGAAATTCAGCCAAAAAAGGGAAATCCCATCATAAGTAGAAGCATATATTCTATTAAAGTATACAACATGCTTAAAACTGCAGAATAAATGAGGGTAAAGTGGTAATACCAAAGCAGTTTGCTCTTGCAAATTGCATGATGAAATTAAAAGTGACATTTATACAGCTGCAACAGGACCTTTTAAAGACTTGATAGTGTCTCTGATATAAAAATTCTTTGACACAGCTGCTTTAGAGAATACGGAAGAAGACTAGAGCTCTGTTTGTGTTTGAGTGTGAAGGATGCTTTTTAAGGCAGAAATTCCCTACACAAAATTGTCTAAGCATATTGCAGTTTAATCAGTAGAGTGAATCAAAGAGTTTACGTTAAAAGGGAACCTGTTTCTCCTTAAATACAAAGACATAACACAACTCCTCAGAATTTTAAAACTAATTGAGATCAAACTAATTGTTTTAAATGTTTTGCAGGTGATTTGGTTTCCCGGGCAATGCATCATCTCCAGCCGTTACACATCAAGAACCCCAGCAATGGGACTCCAGTCCACCAGAAGACCAGCACCACGCTTCACTGGGAACCAGAAGCTCTCTATACCCTGTGTTACTTCATGCATTGCCCGCAGATGGAGTGGGAGAACCCCAATGTGGAGCCGTCCAAAGTCACCTTACAGACTGAGAGGTGAGCTACAGAATTTAATCAAGAGGAAGACATGAAACTTGGTACACTGCATGAAAAAGAGGTAGTTATCTCCTATAAAAAAAAGGATGCCTTTAAAGAAGCTTGGAAACTGTTTTTTTTTTACTTGTTTTTATTTACATATACCTCCTTTTTTGCCCTCTTATTCCGGTATAATGTACTATAATGACTGTATTAGTTCTTTTGCAACCAGTCATGATAGTTCAAATCAATCTTCTAGAGGAGAAGAAAAAGAATCTGCTTAGCTAGCACAAACACCTCTCTCTGTTTTTATGTCAGGACTTTCAACCTTTCTGACAAAAACTACCTTTGTCGCTTACAGACATACAAGTAAAAACATACATTTCTACTTTCTCAGTCAAGACATAAGCTCCAACAGCCTGGCTTGGTCAGGGCTGACACTTGGCTGGGCCTTTGAGCAGTTTGATGGACAGATCCATCTAAAATCTTTCTTTGCTCCTTGCTGAAAACGATAAAACTCCATCCAGACCACCCTGGGCAGCGCGGGGAATGTCAGGCGCAGTGACACGTCAGCAGACTTTCTATTCCTCTGTGACAAAATGCTATTTAGCATTCAACTGAAAGGTTGGAGACGAGTACCAAGGACCTGAATGACTTCACACTGAGCTGTGTGGTTGAATGAGATTATATATATATATATATATATATATATATATATATATATATATATATATATATATATATATATATATATATATATACTTGGTTGGAACTAAACATTAACAATCTAAGTCTTTCTTTGAAGTGGAATTGTCTAATTATTAATTTGAAAACAGATAAGCCATGATTTTGAACCACAATTTATAATCTTTTGAATATAAAGAGTTTTTTACCTTAAAAAGTGTAAATATATAGTATTTATTTTTTATCATTTAATTTGTTCAGGATAAAGGTAGTTATACTTTTAATGGACACCATTGTTTTGCTTCCATCCATCATTTTCTGGAGGCATGTTAAGTGTTCAGTGGCTTTCAAGGGTTAAATATGAAGAAATTTGGATAAAAAATTTGCAGAGCCTTGAGAATTATTTCACACCAATTTATTATGAAAAATTAAAATATACAGGCAGCATATGGTTCTTGTTGTCCTGCAGGAGAAAATAGCGAGCAAACAGAGCGCTGCATGGGATTATTTTCAGAATGATTATATTGAAATAAAAACTTTTATAATAGATCATAAAGGATGAATAAATTACTCAGTCCATTGCTCAATTTGAGTAAAATTAGGTAACAACAGAATTTGTTAAGGTTACTGCTTCTAGATCTATTTAAGCTTTCATTTTTCCCTGTAATAAATTTTAGTATTGATTTTGTGTTGCCGCCTTTCTAATATCTATAAAGACATCTTTGTTCCCTTTAATTTGAGTCTACAAGCCTTATATGAAATCTAAATCTCTCTTTGATTTTTAATCTCTCTAGGATTTCATCTATTGGGAATATGTTCTGTAATATGTATTGCAATAAATTATAATCTCATTATTATTGCTTACTTAAATGGCTGATAATGGTAATTAATAGCGATGGTTTTAAACTGAAAGTTTCTAAAAAGTTTGTTGTATTTGAAAATCTACTCAAAGGATCACTTGTACATGTGTCACAAGTGCAGTTCTTATTTACACCAAATAAATCATTGTCCTCAATATAATTAATCTGATCTGACATTAGAAGGATTGATGCTGATCATTAGGGAACTGTGCTCTGCTCTCCTCTGCAGGCCATTCTTGGTTCTGCCTCCGCTGATGGAGTGGATCCGGGTGGCTATCGCACACACTGAACACAGACGGAGCTTCTCTGTAGACAGCGACGACGTGAGACAGGCCGCCAGGCTGCTTCTGCCCGGTGTGGACTGTGAACCACGACAAATAAAGTAAGAATCACCGAATCCTTTGTGCAACTAGAGAGTTGGACTCGAGGGTAGGACTGCAGATTATGAGTACAATTAGTTAAGAATTCACTGTTATTTAAAATAAAATTGTCAACATCAATTTTTTTCATAAAATTTTTTCTACTATAACTTTGGGTTAAGGAGTTAACCCCGGTTCTCTGAAACATGAGTGAGGTATCTCACTATGGGACACGCCCCCCAGCGCTGTCTCCAGAAGCACTATAACATTACGCCAGCCCTGACTGGCTCACAGAGGTGACGTCTGCTACTGGGGAGGGACTTATCCCCAGTATAGAAACAAACGTCACGCTGGTGATCCTCAGTCTCGTAAGCACACCTCTTCCTCGCTCCAGGCAAGGAGGGTGATCTGGTGAGATACCTCACTCATGTTTCAGAGAACCGGGGTTAACTCCTTAACCCAAAGTTCTCTTTCAACATTCGTTTCGGTATCTCACTATGGGATGTTGTTACTCCCGTATTGCCAGATAAGCTTACTCGAGGACCTAACTTATAAAGGTGAAGATCCTACACCCAGAACCGCATGGGCCAGTGAGGGTGTAGTAACATCCAACCTATAGAACCTAGTTAAGGTGTGAGGAGTTGCCCAACTGGCAGCCCCACAAATGTCCCCCAAAGGTGTACCCTGAAACATTGCCCAGGATGATGCCATCCCACGAGTGGAATGAGCTCGCAGGCCTACAGGGGGTGGGAGGCCCTTAACCTCATAGGCCATGATAATAGCCCCCACTATCCAATGTGAGAGACGTTGTTTAGTGAGGGGCTTCCCTTTATGTGGCGGGGACCATGATACAAACAGCTGATCCGATTTGCGGAAACCAGCCGTTTTCTCCTCATACACCCTCAGAGCTCGTACTGGGCAGAGTGAGTGGAGTCGCTCATGCTCCTGAGAGGCAAATGGTGGAGGGTAGAAAGCCACCAACTCAAGGGGGCGGCATGACAGAGCGGGGTTAATAACCTTTGGTATAAACGCAGGGTTAGGTTTCAGTACCACCTTAGAGTCCCCACTGAAGAACTGCATACAGGACGGATTCACTGAAAGCGCGTGGAGGTCGCTCACACGCTTAGCAGAGACCAGAGCAATTAACAGAGCCGTCTTAAACGACAGTATTTTAAGCTCAGCCTGATGCAATGGTTCGAACGGTGCACATGATAGGGCCTCAAGTACCACCGGTAGGTCCCATGGGGGAGTTAAGCTCCTTGACACTGGGCGGAGTCGTCGGGCGCCCTTCATAAACTGGCACACCAATGGGTGCTGCCCTACTGTTTTGTCACCAAAACCAATATGGCAAGCTGAGATAGCGGCAAGGTACACCTTCACAGTGGAAAATGCCAAGCCTTTATCCAGCAGCTCCTGCAGGAATGTCAGGATGAGTGGCACAGGGCTCTGCATGGCGCTCACCATGGTTTTTGTGCACCAGCTTTCAAATGCACGCCATTTACCTTCATATGCGCTGTTCGTGGAAACAGCTCTTGCAATCTGAATAGTTTTAATGACGTTTGAAGGGAGCCCATTGGCAGTCAGATTCACCCTCTCACAGGCCAGGCCCAAAGAGCTAAACGTTCTGGATGAGGATGAAATATCTCTCCACGAGCCTGCGTCAGCAGATCTCTGCGAAGAGGAAGCCGCCATGGCTCGCCGTACGGTGACTGGAAGATCTCTGCTAGCCAGTGTTTCCCCGCCCAACGGGGGGCTATAAGAATGAGTACATGTTTCCCCACCCGTACTCTGGCGAGTGTAGGAGTAATGAGCTCCAGTGGGGGAAAGGCATACAGTAGAGCCTGTGGCCACTTGTGTGCCAGTGCATCCAGTCCCAGGGGAGCACCTTCTCTGGTCAGGGAAAAAAACCTTGGACAGTGAGCATTCTCCTCTGATGCAAAGAGGTCGACCTCCGCATGGCCGTATCTCTCCCAAATTTGAGCTACAACCTCGCTGTGGAGTTTCCACTCCCTGTAGCGGGGATTGCCTCTTGATAGCAAGTCTGCGCCCCTGTTCATGACTCCTGGTACATGGATCGCTCTCAGTGACAGCAGGCGTGAGCTGGTCCAGACTATCAGTCTGTGTGCCAGCGTGTGTAACAGATGAGAGCGCAGACCACCCTGTCTGTTGATGTAAGCGACCACCGTTGTATTGTCTGTCCTCACTAAAACATGGTGCCCTCTGATGAAGGGCAGAAAGTGTCTTAGTGCCAGCATCACGGCCAGAAGCTCCAGACAATTTATGTGAGCTGTCTGTGTCAGAGAGCTCCATGTGCCATTCACCATCCTGCCCTCGTGCGTGGCACCCCAGCCTGTCAACGAGGCATCTGTGGTGATAACCTTCCTTGTTTGGATGGTTCCCATGGTAACCCCGGTATTGAGAAATGTGGGGCTTTTCCACGGGCTCAAAGCTCGTGCGCATGTTGGAGAAATCATCACCTTGCGGTGAGCGTGTCGGACCGGGTTCAGCCGAAGGGACGCAACCCAGCGTTGAAAAGGGCGCATATGCAAACGGCCTAACTGGATGACGGCCAGCGCTGACGCCATCAGACCCAACAGTCTCTGGCAGAGCCTGAGTTTCACATGCGCCCCTCTGCGAAAGAGTGCCAGACAAGCCCGAAAGGCTTCCTCTCTTTCCACCGAAAGGCGCGCTCTGAACTCGTTGGAGTTCAGGGACAGACCAATAAAAGTGATTGTTTGCACCGGGGTTAGAATGCTCTTTTCCCGGTTTATCGAACCGGGAAAAGAGCCGCCAGATGAGACGTAAGCATCTCTGCGTGCGTCATGAGCTCCGCTGGGGACTGAGCTGCAATAAGCCAGTCGTCTATATAAGTTGCCAGGCGTACGCCTTTCTCCCTCAGAGGAGCGACTACAGCCTCGGTGCATTTTACAAACACCCGTGGGCTGAGCGACAGGCCAAAGGGAAGTACGAGATACTCGTACATCTTTCCCTGAAATGCAAACCTGAGATATTTTCTGTGAGGAGGGTATATAGGGATGTGAAAGTACGCGTCTTTTAAATCGACGGAGATAAACCAGTCTCCGCGGCGAACAAACCGTATCAGAGCTGCATGGGTCAGCATCCTGAACGTATACTTTCTCAGATATGTGTTCAGAGCTCGCAGATCCAATATAGGTCGCAGGCCCCTGTCCTTTTTCGGGACGAGGAGGTACCTGGAGTAAAATCCCTCCTCGCTTTCCTCCTGGGAAAGCAGCCGGATTGCGTTTTTGTTCTGCAGGGAAATTATCTCCTCCTGCAAGATGTGTGCATGTTCCCCCCGAGCATGAGATTGTACTATGCCCCTGAAACGGGGTGGGGCTGCGGCAAACTGGAGCCTGTATCCTCTGGACACAGTCTTTATTACCCAGTCCGATGCCCCGCACGCTCGCCACAGCTGGCTTTTGCCGGCTAGTGGGCCAAGGTGTGTTCCTGACCGAGCTCTTGGCGGTACTAGCTGAGGGAGCTGCAGCACAGCTGTGGTGTTCATCCGCGGCTGCCCTGAATCCGCTTCCTCTTGTGCAGAGATAGCGGCCGGTTGTGCCAAACGTGGAGCGAGGGCTCCACCTTGTGGCCTCATGTGCAGCCGCACGGCTGTGTTCTGTTCCTGTGTCATTTTCAATATGTTTCCCATATTTTTTGGTTGTGGCTGCACCCTCGGCTCTTGGCCTGGTTGTGCGCCAGGATATATTTTTATTAAACATTTTCTGAAGGGGGGAAAAAGAGTGTTTGGGCACTGGTGTGTGCTTGTAAACCACTGTGGCTCCAACGAGCTCTCCGGGTGGGTCACCTTCCCCCTCTTCAACCGGCTCTGAACTGTGAGCTCTAACTCTGGCTCTGCAGGCCGTTTCAGTAGCCCTGAACAAGGCTTCGTTAACTGGAACAGAACATCTCTGGGTGGGGTTGCAGGTGTCTGGCAGTGCCTGCTCCCCGACCCCAAAGCCAGCTCCCTAGGTAGTGCGCCTCTTTTTCTTTGCGCTCGTTGCGACGGGAGAGGCAGTTTGGTTGTCCGGTGCAGCCGGCGGAACGAAGGGTTTCCTTCCCCACGATCCTTTAGGCTCGATGTGCTTCACACGGTCGCGGTCAGCTGACTGCGACTGGGGTGTTCGCTTTGGAATGCGGTAAGCCGGACGGGCCGCTACCTGGGCGGAAGCTTGGCGGGGCATCGCTGCCGGAGGAGGCTGCGTTCTTCTGGGCAGGCAGAGTTTGAGCGCTTCGCCTTCTCTCTTTTTCTCCTCACAGCGCTTTTGCATGGCCGCAACGGTAGGACCGAACAATCCCTTCGGGTCCACCGGTGTGTCGAGGAGATGGTTTTTCTCTCTCTGTGACAGGCTGGACAGGTTGAGCCACCTGGCCCTCTCTTGGGTGACCATCAGGGCCATGGCTCTTCCGGAGGCCTGGACAGCGCTTCTGTGGAGGCGAAGGCATAGGTCTGTCACCACGCACACTTCTTCCCACAGACTTTCGCTCGGTGCCCCCGTCATCTGCTCCTGTAGCTCTGCTTGGTAAGCGAGAAGGAGAGATGAAGCGTTAAGCGCCTTCACCGATGCAGCCACCGGCTTGTAGCTCTTATCATTCAGAGCGGATTGAAAGGAATCTGCTTTGAAAGGGAAAGCGGGTCCTGCCGCTGCCACTGCAGGTTTCTGTGATGGGTGCAGGTGAGAAGCAAGCAGCGGTTCCACAGGAGGTAAATGTGAGAAGCCGCTGTCCTCCATGCCAACCCAATCCAGCGCTGACCCTCCCAGGACGGGGTTCTTAGCGGTGAGAGGTTTGGACCAGGACCGGGTCGCTTCTTCAATGCACTCCGGAAAAACCAGCAGGAGCTGCCTGGTGGAAGATTTGGCCTTGGGGAGCCTTTTCCCTTCATACCGGGATGTGGTGGTCTCCGTGAAGGTCTCAGGCCATTCAATGCCTAGCTTTACAGCCGCTCTTCTACAGACATCGTGTAGGTCCATTGCAGACGGGTTTGGGGAGCCGCTGCGAGTGTCACCCACCTCCACTGGCTTTGCAGCCAGTGGGATGATGAAAGGCCCGCAGTCCTGCTCGTAGTCGTCAGACCCGAGGCTAACGGATTCCACCTCCGAGTCGGATTCTGCGCCCGCAGGGTCGCAAAGATCCGGGAGGGCGGCCTCATCTTCCTCCGGGTCAGTTAGTGGCGCGACAGCGTCGAGCTGGTCCGCCCAACTGGGTCCGGTGAATAGGGGCTCTCCCTCTTCGGTGACAGTGAGCACTGGTGGTGGGGGGTTGGCTACCTCCATCACAGGGTCCACCTCCGACATGCTAGCTTGGCGCGCTAGCCTGCGCCGACGAGATTTGAGGGAGAGCCGAGCACAGTGCTCACAGCTAGCTGGCGACGTTATTCCGTCCCGGGCATGTTGCAGCCCCAGACACGAAGCGCAGACAGGGTGGGTGTCTGCCCCAGCTATAAGGCTGCCGCATGTGCAAGCTCTAGCAGGTGGCTTGCCCTTGTCCATGGCGAGAACAAGTTCAAGCTGCCTCGTAAGCTCCGAAGATTAGAAAGCAGCTAGTTTGGTGACTAGTTGCCGCTGCTGCTGTTTGGTGACAGGCCAGCAGTGGATAGGGAACTCGGAACAGCCGAATACTGTACTGAGTAGCGTTCGTTGACCGAGTTGTTAGCTCGCTCTGTGAACAGTTAAGCTAACTCAATACTTGCTGTATTAACCGTCCGAGTAAGCTTCTGGGAGCGAGAAGAGGTTTTAGACTGAGGATCACCAGCGTGACGTCTGTTTCTATACTGGGGATAAGTCCCTCCCCAGTAGCAGACGTCACCTCTGTGAGCCAGTCAGGGCTGGCGTAATGTTATAGTGCTTCTGGAGACAGCGCTGGGGGGCGTGTCCCATAGTGAGATACCGAAACGAATGTTGAAAGAGAACCAGTTTCTCAGCCTTTCCCTGTGAACTTTAATATCTAGGCAACTAAAAATCTAAATAGAGTCAATCCACATGGCAAAATATGTTATGTATATTTAGGGCTTAAATTCTTAATACAACAAATCATGCGTCCTGTAAAAGTGTTCATTTGTGACACTGCATATAAAGTTTATTTTAACTGTGATGGTTTGATATATTGTGCAGAGCTCGTTCCAAGAGAGAAATCCATACTGATTATGGCTGGAAAGTAATTAGATTCACCAGACGTTCATCTAAATATAACTAAATATCATCAGCATATGAATTAATCAATGATAAATTACTAAATTCAATAGGAGCCAAATTATTTTCTTCTTCAACAATGGAGAATAACGGTATATTTTATTCTGTTTTAGGTTTTGCTTTGGTCTTACCTTGATACCTTTGACATGTATTGTAGCCTAATAGACAAAACAAAGAGAATATTGTTGTAAATAATCCTTCAGTTTCAAGTGAAAATGAAGTCAAATAGGGGAGATCTTTTTGTTCAGTATTGCTTTGCTCTAAAAACACTTCTGAATACCCTTTTTGGCAAAATTAACACCTGCAGACCTGCTAAGATTTCACATCTTATCAAGTAGTCATTTTCTTATATCTAAGGGGGAAAAAACTACTTCTTCATCACTTTCCTTTTGGACCATGTATGATCATTGCTAATATTCTCATTGGCCACTTTTATCTTGAATCCCTGCTGTTGCAATATACATGTTCAAGAAAAAATATTCCTACGTAGTGGAGGGATTAAGAAAAATGTTGGAACTCTTTAAATCTCAGACCAGGAAAGACACCAAGAATAAATACTTGCAAATATGAAAGTTGAGACCTTTTTGCACATTATGGAGAGCACTTTCCTATGTAGATAAAAAAAAAAACTAGTCAAAGATAAATGTAAAAAACTTGATGAATTGGTGTTTATTGAACTAACTTGTTTAACTGTATCCAATGCTACTAATTATGATCATTTTACCCAGTTATATATAAACTCAGTATAAAGTAAACAGAAAATGTCCAAGCTCTGAACCATGTGGTACTCCTTAATCCCCAATACTTCAAATTCCACAATTGACACAGTGAGAGGTGTTTTGTTTTGTAAAGTAATTTGAATACAAAAATGTACTTTTCAGACTTTTAAATAATAAAAGCCATAGTATAGTAATATTGTGTTAAGCACTGATGGCGAAGAACTAAAAGCAGTACTTAGAAGTGTTGATTTGATGATTTTAAAACATTCAAATTTTCTCTCAAAAATGTAATCTACCTGCTTCAGAAGCTCAGCTTAAAGTAGCTAGTAAAAAGAAACATGAGAATTTATGGTTCTGTGCACAAATACTTCCTCAGCTGAACCCTCTGATGCTATAAAATAAGCCTGATAAAAGTAGTGAATTTCTTTTTCTTCACATACAGTAGTAGCCATTCAAAATTTGCCCACTTTCCTCGATGGGCTCTTGGCTGGTCCTCTACAATTCTATTTTAAACGTCAATCTTTGCACTAAAATATTATTTCTGTCAGGATTTGTGGACATTAAGATCTAGTGAGAAGTGTCATCTCCTGGTCAGACCCTGTAATTCAGTGAAAGGATGGAGTCGGAGTAAAAAAAAATGCAAGCCAGAGGCTGGAAGTTGGCTGGGATTGGCTGAGATTCGCAGGGGAGTAAGCTGCCATTCGGCTGGCTTTAACTGGGAATGGCGATTTTGAATGGCTGCTAGTGTACAGTACAACAGCTGAGAGTCTAGGTGCAGGTAAAGAAACATCCCATGCATGACCTGTACAAAGATCTGATGAAATACAATATATAATAGGTAGGTAGGGAGATTTTGGCTTCTGCTAAGATTTCTTTTGCAGTAAAGAGGACTTTCCAGCACACTATGGAACATTAATGCTTAAATGGGCTGTAAAATTCTTGGAATACTAAGGTGGTTAGACAGGACTAGTAGCAAATAAAACACATGGTTTTGAGAAAAGAGAAAGTGGTAAGGGAGAGCTGAGATGTGTGTATGCTGTTTTTAGAGTTTAGTAAAAAGAGATAAAGGTTAGGAGGAGTGCTTTAATGAACAAACGGGTATAATTGGGTATTTTCTTCAATTTCCACCAATCGACCTTTTATTTTGTGTCTCTGATCCATTTGATCACTGTTTTACTAAATTTTACACACGTTTGCAGGGGTGGAAAGTAACGAATTAAATTTGCTCTAGTTAATGTAATTGAGTACTTTTTATGAGTAAATTGTAATTTTCTGAGTAGTTTTTGGAATATGTAATTTTTACTTTTACTCGAGTTAATTTTAACCTAAGTACTTTTAATTTGCTACATTTAAAAACCCCCTCACATTACTGAGTAAAAAAATAAAATAAAAATACTGATGATGAAAAAAATTAAATACGGCCGGAAATTTAAACCTCTGTGTCACGGAACCGACACTTAATCGCCATTAAAAAATAGAAGAAGACTTTTGACTTTTAACAGCACTTTATTTACACATTTCAAACATATAAACAATTGATTTAAAAATAAGTGACAGTTAAAAATCCCTATTAAAGTAAAACAAGTGTCAGTTAAAATCAGTAAATGAGGAGCTTGTTAATAACAGTGGGATCGTTTTAGTTTGATTTCTGGTATCTTTTGGGCATTTAATTTTGTGTGCATTTTGATAACTTTAAAACATAGTTTAAATTTCTTTATTCCTATCATGGTGTTGTCTGTTGGACAGTAGGATTGAAAATTGTTTGCACTTTATGGTGCAGGTTGTGACTGTCCTTGTGCTGTGAGGAAGTATGTTCTTTAGCCCAGCTGATCTTTTGCAAGTGTGGATGTCCACTGAAATACGCCTTGAAATCGATTAAAACACCTTGTGGTCAATTAGATTCATGACTCATCTTTTTTTGCATTAAATAACTCAAAGTAACTAAGTAACTCTTACTCAAATTACATTTTAAATAAAGTAATTTTGTACTTTTACTTGAGTAAATTTTGAGATGGGTAATTTTACTTTTACTCTGAGTAAAATTTAGGCAAAGTAAAGATACTTTTACTCAATTACAATTTTTTAGTACTCTTTCCACCTCTGTATGTTTGTAGGTTTTCTTCACCATGGAAATATTGTCTAATATAATATCAGTGAGTCCTCTCCTATGTTTAAATATCTCTGCCAGGATGTCTTTTTTATTTTATTTTTCTTTTTAGACAACACAGCATGTGTCTCTTACAGCACCAGTGATTTTGAGATCTTATCTTTTGTCACAGAGTCATGGGTTAAGAGTCCTCCCACTCCAAACATTTGCAGAGACACAACAGAATGGTAAAGGTGTTCGGTTACCAATTAGCATCTCTTTTCAAATGCCAGATATAATTGTCAGTTAGAATCAGATGCATATTATGAAGAGGTTTCTCTACGACCCTGTTGGGAACTACATCAGCACCAGCTGTTCACAGCATCAATTAAGACTCATTACAGAGAAATAACGAGTCACAGCAGAAGCCTCACCTGGAGAAGGCAGAAGACTGAGAACTCAGAGTCCAAAAGGAGCGGATTGTCTCTAAATGTAAACAGCTCAATGCATATAATGTTATTTTTTCTGCCTTAAAATGTGGAAAGCTGAACAACAATCATTCCCCCTCTCTTACCACATACAAAAGGAAATGTATACCTACTGATCCCCAGATCTATTTCTGGGATAAGCCCCCACTTAGTCACAATAATGTATCTTCCGCTTTCATCCACAGAGCTGAAGATTGTTTCTGTGCTGCACGGAAGCTGGATGCAGCCTCCACAGAGGCCAAGTTCCTGCAGGATCTAGGCTTCAGGATGCTCAACTGTGGACGGACAGACCTCGTCAAACAAGCCGTCAACCTGCTGGGGCCCGATGGCATTAACAGCATGAGCGAGCAGGTATGACACTTCACACGCTCTCCTACACGTATATGCTGTTTGCAGCTCTAACAGCCCACTTGTTTACACCAGTGCTGCTCGAGCACAATGCACAATGAATTATGAGCCTGTAACAAGTGTTACATGGCAGATCAGTGCATGTTTGCTCACATACTTGGCAATCACCTCTTCTCTGTGAGCAAAGCACTAAATAATTAATGCTTTATACTTATTTGTTGGTTTGGATGATAAGGTATTCAGATTAGCTCCAGATAAGTGGTAGTTTCTCTGATAGATGTGTTATTGGATTCATCCGTACTGACAGATGTTGACCCATTTTCTGTAGAGATTGTTTTGGATCATAGTCTTTCCCTAAACTTTTTCATTCATCCCTTCATGAGAAAAGGATTAATTCATTCATTTTTTTGTCGATCAGCGTGTCGGTTCGTCTATCTGCCAGTTCAGCCACCCGTCTCTGTCCTGGGCATCATTTTTTTCTTTTTTTCAAAGTTTTCAGTACAACATTAATAACACAGAACAGTTGGACATAGAGAGCAGTTGGCAAAAATACAGCTTGTTGAAAGTAGCGATGGATCATAGACCATTTTGAAGCACAGCACATTTTAACCTGTAGGAGTCCCATTTTGACCAAAGTTTGTGAAAAATGTCAAGTTTCAAGTGAATTTTAAAAGTAATTTGTTCCATGTTTCTTATTTCAGTCATGATTTCAATCCAGTTTGAAATCGTGGGGGCTGACTGTGTCATCCATTTCTTAGTTATGGCGTTTTTTCCAGCAGCAAGCATTATATTCCAAAGGTATTTGTTTACTGTGTCCATTGCCGGTGTTTTAAAACCAAGGTACATGGTCATGAAGTTGAAAGGGATGGCGACGTTATAAACAGTTTGCATTACATTGTTCATGTCTTTCTAATATTTCTGGATAACTGGGCATTCCCAAAACAAATGATAATGATGCACCTTTAGGCACCCACATCCTCTCCAGCATCCAGTGTTCCCTTGTGAATAACGAGCGCTTTGACATGGTGTTATAAAGAAACGTGCGGTAGTTTTCCAGCTAAATTCTTTCCAGATATGTGATTTTGTTGTCTTCCATTGAGATAACTGGGCATAATTTTGATTGCATGTTTAAACCCCTAGAAAATAAAAAGGGAAATGTTGTTCACAAAAAGTTACAAGAATAAGAAAAAATTAATATTCTATATTTATTTTATGCAGGTGCTAGCAAGTTTTGTGATTTAATTTAAAAAGTATGTTCTTCTGCAAAGTGTTTAATTGAATCAGGGCCAATTATATTTACTTATTCCTGGAGTCCAGACAGAGGATTTAATCTTATTTTACCTTAAACGTTATTGATAAATGAAACAGACGCCATAATTGTATAAAATAAAAGAGACAAACTCGAGTAATTATTTTTAAATCCCTGCTTGCGTCTTTACTTAAGATTAAGCCCCATTTTTGATGGAAATGACCCTCTGTAACTTCAGGGCCCTTTACAACCTCACTTATTTCCTGTAGATAATCAGAAATGCCTCAAAATAGCGTCCTTTCTGCAAGATCGACTGTGGAGGTGGTCATCTTATATCCTGGTGTGTCACCGTATGCACGGAGCTCTCGCTGCGTTCTTTTCCACCCACACACATTATTTTTCCGAGCTTCAGGCGCAAGCCTCATTAGTTGTATGAATGAAATAAAAAAATAAAAAGTATGAAAACTTTACTGAAAACCAGGCAGGGAGTTTGTTTCATTTGTCAGAGCTGCTGAAGTGTTTTCAACAAGCTTCTGTAAAGTAGACTTCAATCATACGTCCAACTCGGGGCCGTTATGTTCAACAGAGGCCTTTTATGACCAACTTCCACCCCTCTGCAGCAATTTATGTTGGAGACTTATATCCCTCATGTGGTGATTCAGTCTTAAGCATTTCTTGGGGAACTGATCCACTTAATCAGTCGGCTGTTAGGGACACTGATGGTCGCCACGATGAGTTCAGATATTGAGGTATTTAAAGGGAGAAATATAAGGATATAAAACTCTCATTTGATACAAATTATAGTGATTTGCAAAACTGTTTCCACCCTTTTACCTTTTTTACTTGTATTTTACTTACTTTTTACAGATTTAGTGTGGTAGACAAAGTGTATTGATTGCTGAAGAGGAAGGAAAATTATACACTTTAGTCTTTTAATGTATGACAAATAAAAATCTGGCTGAATCATGCATTTGTGTTCAAGTCCTTGGAGTCAGTAGTTGGTAAAACCACCTCTCTGCAATTATAGCAGCTGGTAGGAAATGCTTTGTTTGTCGAGACTAAAGTTTTTCCCATTTACTAAGATTGTGACCCTTGAAAGGCGTATTTTTTCCCTCTCCTCCACATTTTGTTTTCTCAAAATATAAAATGTGCCTTTTATACGTTTCTAAAAAGAAACACTAAAGGTTTTAAAGCAGTTAAGTGAGAGATTGCCTTGAGGATCTAAATCGATGTTAACCAGGCGTAGCTTAAGAATAAAAAGGTTGCATTAGCTTTCACTTAGCTCCACAAGGAATCGCAGATTCCTCCATTGACTGAGGAAGGTGGAAATTCCCAAATGGGTCTGATGTGTGGATGCAGTAAAAGTGGGATATCGACCGAGCCCGGCAGCAGTCGGACTGGTAGAAGTGCTGCAGTATCAGGTTAAGATATCTTTTTATCGCTGCAAGCATTTCATGTGAAAATACAAGGTTTTCATTTCTGGTTTGTTTCTGATTAAGTTAAGTGATACAAAGGGAAAAAGACAATTTCTCTTCTAAGACTTTAAGGCTTTAGCTTCAGAGCAGCTGCAGGTTAAGTAGCTTTAGCATTATATTCTAATAGTTAATTTATGGCAAAGCAGCAAACATCTTGTCATAAATGAATAATTCTTTAAATTGATCGAGAAATAAATAAGCAAAGATTTCCATGCATCCATTGTCTGCACCAGCTTATTCTTGTAGGGTTTCAGAGAGTCTGATGCCTAAATCTCTATTGTTCATTTGGTGAGAAGCAGGTTAAACTCTGAACATGTGCCACTGTGATATGTACATATATATATGTATATGTATGTATATATTGTCTTTGTTACTGAATTGTATTGAGTTATTTGTGGTTTATAGACCATCAGAAATCTGAGCTTTTTGCTGACGTGTCACGCTCTCATCAGACTGCAGCACGTCAGCAAAACTCGCAAGCAGCGATTTTAAGGATAATAACTTAAGTTGGCTTCTAAATGAGCCACCTTTTAATTAGTTTTGATTTTTGTTTATTTATTCAATAAAGTTGATAAGAAGTCTATCTGAACTCCAGCAATAACTAAAGATAATTGGCACTGATTGCAATGAAACATTTTGCAGAAGAACTTATTTTCCTTTTTTAAATGCAATTTAAAACCAGCTGGCACCTGTAAGATACAGCTGATATTTTTTTCTTGTAACTTTAACTATTTACAGTTATTTAACTATAACTGTTGGAAAAACTTTTGATCAGTATGATCTGACGTCCTATTTTCTAGTGGGGAAGGAAGGAAGGAAGGAAGGAAGGAAGGAAGGAAGGAAGGAAGGAAGGAAGGAAGGAAGGAAGGAAGGAAGGAAGGAAGGAAGGAAGGAAGGAAGGAAGGAAGGAAGGAAGGAAGGAAGGAAGGAAGGAAGGAAGGAAGGAAGGAAGGAAGGAAGGAAGGAACCTTACCACCCTTTTTATTAAATAAGATAAACTTTGTATTAAAAGCAAAAAAGGAAAATCTTTTCCTGTGGAGAGAACATTATGGCATTATTTATGGACCTATTGGACCTTCTCAAATCTGCAGCACATCTTTATTCAACATCCTTTTTTCCTATAAAACTTTGATGTAGAAGCGTTTCATGCAGCCCTCTCATCTGCCCTGCAGGGAATGACCCCCCTCATGTACGCCTGCGTGCGAGGTGATGAGGCCATGGTCCAGATGCTGCTGGACGCAGGAGCAGACATCAACAGCGAGGTCAGTGTCCCATCTGTCTAACTTGTCACAATAATTTCACACTTTTCGTTACAGTTTAATGTTTCATTCACTTTTGTTTCTGTGACATCTTTCAACCCCACATTTCCCCTCCTCTGTGGTCTCTGTCTCACCTGCTCTGAGTTCGCTCGCTACTCTCCACTCTCCCAGCAGCTTGTTACACAAAGTGCGCTGATGATAAACGATTATCATTTGTCGGTTTCTCTTCCCACTGATACTGAATAATAATCCGCTGATAGTCCCTCAGCTCCAACCATCACTTCATTTCATTTCACACTGCAGATATCCAGCAGCAGTTTGCTTTATGGCGCATCAATAATACACCTCTGCTCTACAAGCAGGGGCACTTTGTGTAACTTACTGCAGCATACTGCATGAACTTTATTGTGCTTATTTGTTATGTTGAAATAAGACAGAAGAAGGAGGCTTTGCAATCATAAATCATGCTTTTTTTTCTTTTTCTTCTCCACAGTTTGTCCTTCGTGTTTGTATTGCTGCTTTAATCTTCACTTTAGTTATGTTCTGCTTAACTAAAAGAAACTCTCATCTTTTTTTTCCATTTGCTTACAGTCAGTAGTTGTGATGGCTCCTTTAGATTCTTCCCTGTGATGACTCAGAAGCAAAGCATGGTTAAACTCATTCAAGATTTAATTGGCGAATTGATATTTACTTAATTTAGAACCCGTGTGTCTTTTCTGAAGGAAAGACAGTTTGATCTTTAATTTCAAACTCTGATTTGTAGCAGATATGCTAAAGCTGATGCAGGATTTTTCATACAATAGGCTAAAATCTCATCCTTAAAGACTGCAACCCTCCACTGATTGCCCTGTCCTGTTTTACACATTGTGTATTTTTTACTTTTGTTGGTTGTATAGTGTTAGTGGTATGAAAGGTGCTTTAAATAAGATGTATTATTATTATTATTATTAGATGAAAACCTTCTGTTTGTATATATGAATGATTTCTGCACCTCCACCATCTGTTTCAGCTTTCCCTTGATATATGAGCACTTGGGACCAATCTAAAAAAGATTCATTGTTCTTACGCCTTTTGGTTCAAAATATTTTACAACCATTTTTTTTTACAATGGAAAAAAACAATGTAAAATAAAATATACTATTATAAAATATACAATATACAAAAACACTGTTGTGGTTAACAAAATTAAACATTAGATATTTGGAACTCGTCCTCAAAGATATGCATTTCATTAAACTCCTTATTCCCTTATATTTTTTTCTCTGTTCTAAAATAAATTAAATCTGAAAACTCACATGAAGAGAAAAGACAATTAAAAGAAATTTATTGATCCAATATTTTAGTCTTTGGCGCTCAGACCGCGGCAGGAAACATAGCGCTGAATTTTTTATTTATATGCATGAACAGGGCTGTTTCCCCCCAGGCTTGAAACTGGTGGCGGAGTGGAGATAGATGAAGTTGGTCAGTCTGTAGACTGCTGGTTAGCGAGACGGTCTGCTGAGCTTTAAGGCGAGATCCAGTGGACTTCGTGACCTGATGCTAGAGCTTTACTCAGGGACCTGGAAGATGGAAGTCCAGCTTGGATAACACAGGTTGAGAGAACCTGTCCATGATGAGCAAGCATGAAGCGACGGTGGAGAGGAAAAACCCCATTGAAGAAACCTCTGGCAGAACCAGGCTCAACATGGCGGTCTTCTGCCATAACGGTTAAAATGAGACGCGGCACGCAGTAAGAGTCTGGGAGTAATGAAACTCTGATAAAGTTTTAGCGACGATGGTGGATGAGGGGCTGGAGACGGGTTGAAATGGGGTCATCTGAATGAAGTCACACAGCGCAGCCACCGCCTGCGCACTAAGTTGCACAAGAGTTGCGGACCGGAATCCTTTTAAGATAAACTTTGGATACTGATTGGCTTTCGTGGAGCCGTGGTTCAAGCTGATTGGCTGTGTCTTAGGCGGATGAAGGCGAGTGATCAGCTTATTCAGTTGAACTTCCGCCTAGGCTCCATATAATAAATTCATGTTAGTAAATTGTTAGAACACCTCTACATGTATTCCCATGTTGAAGGATGTTTTCACTTTTTTAAATTCCTTCATGTTTGTTATGCTCCTAACTATGGAATTTAGGCTGAACACCATGGGGAAATGAAAAGAGATGTCACATTCTTTCAGGAAGCAGACTTTAGATACTAATCTAAAATCTGGAGATCTTAAAAGAATTTCAAACCAATCAACCCCCTTTCTTCAAAATAGATTATTATGCTAAATTGTCCAGACATGGCTATCCATAGTGCTTCCCTATAGCATTTCTAAGATATTCTAAGATAAGTGTCCATCTATCTGACTCTTGCAAGTGTTGATATAAAAATGCATGTCTTACCGCTATAAGTAAATTGTGGGTGTGCAAGGGTAACACCTTTGCTGTGTAAAAAAAAAACAAAAAAAAACAACAACAAAAAAACAGTTGAACAAAAGTTTAAACACCAAATTGAGGACAGAGACAAAATAAAAGACTCATGGAATAATTTTCTTTTGACAGATGAATCTAAAAGTGAAACATTTGGCCTCTAGGAGAGAAGTCATAATGCATTCTTACTGCAGCAAATCATCCTCTGCTGAGTACAGAGAAGCTGTTTGAGGAAAATGTGAGACCAAACAAAAAGATAAATGCGGTCGAACCAGAACTTTTCCCTGCAAATACACGCTGGTCAAAAAAATACATGTCAATCTAACAAGACTATCTGAAAACTTTCAGATCAAACTTTAATTCTATCATTCAAGACAAAATTGCTCCTGCAACAATGATTGAAAATGCTACCAGAATGAAACTTTGGGAAAAAGTTTCATAAAGCTTGTGGAGGTATTTATCAAGGCAACTTTGAATTATAACAAGCGAGCATAAATTTTAGGGGTTGTTTAAAATCATCAAAATTACTGTAGCCTAACATATATAATGTTTGACAGTAGACTGACAGCAGAAATGTCGAAATAGTTCTTATAGAGTGTTCTTCTAGCAACCTGTCTATAGGTGCAATATGGAGCTGTGTGCGCTTTGACTCCTCCCATTCTGAAATGGAGAATATATATAGCTAATTTTATCATTATGGTGAACTGCCTTTTACCTGCAGGAGACCTCTTCAAGACCCTACAGAGACCATCAATGCTCTGGCTAATGCTTAATGATGTGTTGGTCTTATTAGTAGCCTGAAGAACTATTATCAAAAGTAGCTTTGCTTTACATCACCTGTGTTTAAACACGTTTATATTTCAGTGGTTTAAATGTTTTCATAGTCCTGAAAAATAAAATTTTCAAAATGCATGACCTGTGATCTAAAGCAAATGGAAATAAAGTAATAACACCCATGAAAATGATACATATTCTTGCATGAATGAATAGATGTAGATAATAATTTTCCTAAAGTTTTATGAGTCAAGCCTTTAATTAAGGTAAAACAAAAAAACAGATGATTCAGCACTTTACAGGCGGTTCTTGTCTCAGATTTTTCTCCTTTTCTGCTCAGGCCGCCTGTAATTATAGAGTCATTAATAATTCATATCATTAAACAATAAAATACCAACAGTCCCGCTGCTGTTTAGCATCAGAGCCCAAATGAAGTGCGACATCATATTAAATACCTGTTTTACCCCTGAGTGTTTTTTGTAAATAATTGCATAAGTTTATTTAAGGAATGAAACTGATCAAAACCCACAGATTTGCTTCTGGGTCTGCGCTCCAAGTCCTGCATGTGTTTGTTGTCGCTGTCACTTCTTTTCTCTGGTTTCTTTTGTTGTTGAGATGAAACTCCATGAAAACATGGAGCCAGACAGACACAGCAAAGTGCACTCCGAGAACCTTGTCCAGGCAGATGCTTCACGCTTAGACTGAGGATTTGAGATGAGAGGAAGGATTAGAGCTGCTAAAGATTTTCTGTAAAACTCAAGAGGAAAATCTCCCCCTGTCATCTTGCCCTCTTTTGCTTACAGCTCTCCTGCATATTGCTTCCTCCCCCATCTTTGCCCTTTTCCTGAGCTCTGATTGTTATAACAGCTTTTTATCTCTCTCCCTGAACTTCACCTATGACTTCCCAGGTGCCAAGCACAGTAAACAAGCACCCCTCAGTTTATCCCGAAACGCGCCAGGCGACACCACTCACGTTCGCCGTGTTGCACGGACACATCCCTGTCGTGCAGGTAGTTACGTTAATGACCTGTAAGCACTAACCTCTGGCCCCCTGCCCTCACCTTTGTACTAAAAACAATAAGATAATGATCATGATTGCTGTGATGCATTATTAATAATGCCAATAGTCCTTTTATTGCTCCTTCGTTGGGCCTGTCTGTGCTGTGTTTACTGAGGGGACTCAGATATTTTGGTGCAGTTCAGAATTTTTTAGGTTGGGGTTTTTACTAGATGATTGCCTGTAGGGCTGCAACAACAATCATTTTGATTATCGATTAATCTGGTGATTATTTTGTAGACTAATCTATTCACAATTAGTAAGCAAAAGGTTCCTTAAAGAAGATTTTTTTTAGAGTTAAACTAAAACTTTTCCTTTTGAGGAGTTCTCAATAGACCGTATTGACAATTCTTTTTTTTTTTTTATCTTAAAAGCAAAAATTTTTCTTTTTTTTTTTTCAATTTTGGTATAATTTCTGCCCTAGGTTTGTTCCCTGTCAGCTAAAGGCATGTTTTAGAGTCTCTGAACTCCAGTTAACAATAAATCTATTACTAAATTAGGTGATGATTATTCCAATAATCGATTTATCACAATTAATCTGACTAAGCCTGTTTGAAGATAGTCTGTATATTACTTGGATAGGATCTCGCTGCAAAGCACAGTGGCTTGATAAATCCCGTATAACCTTCCAACCTTTTCACATTTTGTCACTTTGCAAGTTACACCCAATGTCGATCTACTTTACTAAGAATTTGTGCAATAAAGCAGAACAAAAATGGTGCAAAAATAATACAAATCTGACAAGTCTAAGTATTTCAATCCTGTGAAACCACATTTGACTGCAATTACAACTGAAAGTATTTAGGAGCCAGCTTTTCTAAGTTAGATTGGATGGATAGCATCTGTGCATTTTTCCTGGAATCTACTGGATTCAGGTCGGGGCTTTTTGTTAAGCCATTTTGACACATCAACACGCTTTGATCTTAGCCATCCTCTGTGGTTGTGCAGGTTAAAGCCCACTAACAGGGATTGTCTTTATTTAGATTTCATTCATTTTCCAATCAGCTATTCTAAACTCATTGTTCCAGCTAAAGACAGTTACTGCCAGAGTAAGATGCTTCCATCTCGATGTTTTAATCTGGACATGGGGAGCTCAGTATTATGTCTAGTGTTAGTTTTCCACTCTTAAACATATGAAGGATTAAGTATCTAAGTTAACAGTTGAATAATTAACCTAAAGTAAATTAAACTAAATGGCCAGCTAATGATTAATATTCTTAAAAACCTGAGTTTTCTGTTGTATTAGGAGGATATCTCCATAACATTAGGGGCTTAATCAATATGCTTTTTTACAACATGTTGAATAAAAAAAAAAATAGTGCATTTTATATTTTAATAGATTTATTGTACCAGCTGTAAATACTGACTGAATTAAGTTTCCCTATCACATCATTAATCTTCAACATATTTATAAGATAAAATAATATTTTAGGTCACTGAGTAGAAAAGGATGAATAAGATAGTATAAGCACATAAATTCCTATTTAAAGAGTTATAAAACACTCTGGCATGCTGTCAAGGCTATTTGTTTTAATGAAGAGGACACTAACTGTGTTATAGAACTCTGTGTAGTCCAACAATAAGTGGAGGGAGAAACTCTAAATCGATTATTTTTTTCTGCTGTAGCGTCCCAGCAAGGCTCTGCGTTTCCTCTGCTGGATGGCGGTAACACTGCAACACTGAAAAAAATTATTTTTTAAACGTATTAATTATTTAGATAGAAAAGATTTAATATCATAAACCATAAATCAATATTTAAAGCTACAGTGTGTAATAATTACAGGGATATACAGTCAGAAATGTAATATATTATACATAACTATGTTATTTATCGTCATCTACGAGCTCAGCCTCTTAACCTTAATATTTGCGTTGCCTTAGAATTCGTTATTTATAATTACATAGGAGCGGGTCTCGCAGCCATGGAGGCAGACATCTTTGCGCTACGGCAGCGAAGAGCCAACAAATTAGTGATTGCGAGATCGCCAAAATGTTACAACGATGTAGAAAAAATAACTGGTATATTTATTATCTTAAGTCTACATGAAATCTATACCCTACACAGACTAATGAAATACTATCTGTAAAATTATCTATGTAAACAAACCTCATCACTTGAGAAGGTAGGTGATGCGGACGTCGTGGAAGACATTTTGTCCCGTAACTCTTGCCGTACTGTTGGGGGGGAGAAGCAGTGGGGGGAGATGTTCATGATGCTGCAGTCTGACCACTAGGTGTCGCTAAAAGTTACACACTGTAGCTTTAATGTAAGTCGATTATTTGTCTATATCCTAACTAAGAATATCAGTGTTGCGTTCATCTAACATAAGAACTTTCCTCCACATATTTGCGGTATTATTTGGATAACTTGGGGCAACAGAAATTTCCAATGCTATTCATCCAACAGTGACTTCTTTTCTCTCCCACCTGAGCTGAGGATCTCTGCAGCTCCTCCATAGTTACTATAGGCGAATCCCTGCTTCTCTGAACATGTTCTGCTTACCAGGCCTGTATATTAATGGAGAATATCTATGTTTTGGTGTAACAGTTGTACATACACTACTTTTTCCATGTTCAGATGGTGGACTAAACAGAGCTCTGCAAGGAGTTAAAAGTGTGGGATATTGTTTAATAATCTAATAATGTTGAGTCCAACTCAACTCAACCTATGTGCTTGATCCTCCTAATGCTATTTGTTCAGTCTTACAGCTAGGCTATATTTGCACTGAGATTAAATCACACAAAAGTGGTATTTGTACCGACAGAGTGCCTTCTGAGCATCATTGGATGTCTAGATTTCGGACTAAAGGTATGAAAGCAAAGGAAGCAGAGCGCAAATAATCATCACAATTATTTTAACTACTAAATTTTGTTTCATAAATCATGTATTTATTTTCATACCACATCATAAACATTAGCACTCTAAAAAATATTAAAATATGTTATTGTAAAAAAAAAAGGACTTCTGAAAAGCACCTAATATTCAGCCAGCACTTGCAGTGATCAGCCAATGATGTCTATCTAAAATGATATCTAAATTATCTTAAGATTTAATAAATGAAATAAATAAATAAAATATATTTTTGAATATTTTTTTGCTGTTAATGTCAGGATTTTTTTGGTTTGTTGTTTTTGTACTGAGCAGTTAAGTGCATATAAAAAACACAGATAACGGATCATAGATGAAGAGATACAGACTATTAATAGGTAATCCACAGAACCCCAATTTGAAAAAATCTAAACAATCCTTTAAGAAAAAATGCATATATGTAAATCTATATACCCAGGATTGTAGAAGTTGGAAACTCCTTTAACTGAGCTGTAAAGAGCAGCTCAGGCCAGCCTGGTACACAGCCTCAGGGACGCCAAATGTTTTACTGGAGTAGTGGTTCTTATGCACATTATTGCCTTTAGGATTTTAAGATCATTAATATTTATGACCACAATCAGAGTTTTGGCACTAGGAAAAGAAGTTCTTCCTCCTCAGCTCAACATCAATAGAGCCGAATAAGAAGACGAGGCTAGAAGTGCAGTTTATATTCAGGCAGTCGAGGCTTTTACTCTTGCCAAACTGAAATGTAACACCCCATCTCTCCCGTGCTTGTTTTCCCTCTCTATGTTCTCCCGTCTTGTTTGTTTCCCTCCTCCATCTCTCCAACAGTTACTGCTGGATAACAGAGCCAGTGTGGAGGGCGCCCTGCAGGATGGGGCGGAGAACTACACGGAGACGCCGCTCCAACTAGCTGCTGCTGCAGGTAAACAGACACAGGCAGCGTAGACTGTAATCTAGCTCATAGCTCCTATTCCTGACAGTGGCATGCGCTGTCTCATTTAATCATCTCATTAATTTATCTTCTTCAGTTACCCTGATTCTGTGAATCAGAGGATTAAAAGCTTTATTTGTCATGGATACTCAACTCAAACTTTATTTATAAAGCACATTTTAAAAAAACAGGGTTGACCAAAGTGCTGTACAGGAATCACAGTTAAGGAACATAAGATAAAAACTGAAGGCTGAAATACATAAACACATTACAAAAAGAAAAATTTTATGGAGATAAAATATAATAGGATAAATGTTTCAATTAAAATAAAATAAAATTTTGCCAAATGTCCACTTAGACTTGATTAAAATCAAGGGAGAAGAAGTGTGCTTTTAGAGAGGATTTAAAAACCTCCAAGGAGCCTGCCGATCGAATATGCCAAGGAAAGTTATTCCAGAGTCTCGTCGCCGCTGCCATAAAGGCACGATCACCTTTGGTTTTAAGTCTGGTTTTAGGCATGACGAGTAGCAGCTGATTAGAGGATCTTTGTGTTCTGGCCGGAGAGAAGCTCAGCTCATCAAGAGCTTTAAAAACAAACAATAAAATGTTAAAATCTATTCTAAAAACAACCAGTGCAACGAGGCTAGAACAGGTGATATGTGGTCACGTTTACGTGTGCCAGTTCGGAGACGGGCAGCTGAATTTTGTACCAAATGCAGACGGTGTAAAAGTGAGTGGTCCAAGCCAGCATATAAAGAATTACAGTGATCCAATCTTGTATTAATAAAATCATGGATTACAGTCTCCAGATCTCCGTGTGGCAGGTACCTTTTCATTTTTTTAATTTTTAATAAAAAAAAATTTTTTTTTTTTTTTATAAAAGTTATAAAAGCTGTTTTTTTTACAACTGAACTAACCTGGCCATCAAATTTCAACCTGTCATCAAATATTACACCAACATTTTTTACTGATGATCGATCAGTATATTATGTAAATAACTGAGCTTTCTTATTCCATACACTTGGAAGGTTAAATATAAAATGAAACAAAAAGCAATTAAATGACTAAATTACTAAGAGTCTAGTTCAATCTCCTGGCTGGCTCACCAATTTATTAAAGTGTAACATAATACAGGGTATTCCAATGTTATAAAATTTTTAATTTCTTTCATTTTTGCTTTTTTAAATGTTATGAAAATATTAACATAGCATTATCTCAGAGGGAAAAAAAACTTTAGTCGAACCTATTTAACAATATGAAGAAATGACTAATATTCAAGCTAAGCTAACTGGTGTATATAGTAAGAAGAATCATACTTTGCTAAACTTGTTTTAGTATGTTTCTATTTTCATTAAGGTTCTTTTTCACTAGTTTTTTTTTTATTAGTTCAAAAAAAAGTTGTATCATTGATCTTTTTAATGGATGGGCAACCATGTTGTCATGGTAACTAGTGATTAAAACTCAAAGCAACTAGAAATTAATGCTTTTAAAGACCCCAATAGCTGAATAATAAGTAATGTAGATGAAATAAAGACCAAAGTCCCTAAGCTAATTTTCATTAATGAAAAGCAATGAGTGGGAGAACTTTCTGAGTAGGAAAATCATTTCATTAGGCTTCAGCTTTCAGGTGAGATTTGAGCTGCTTTTACTTTGCAGTCACTTTAACTCTAATAGGATGCAAAACCTTAAATACTAAACATGTTGCCTGCTTGTTTCAATCTTAGCGGCTTTAAAGTTATATAACTTATTAAATTTCTCTAAAGGTGTTATCCAGTGTGCTGAAAGCTGATACAAACTGAATATTCATCCATGCATGCATTGATCAGTTATTTATCAGTCCCTTCATTGATACCTTTATCTGTCCAGCCAATCATTTATCCATAGAATAGAAATATTTGAAATAGATTGAAATATATTGAAAGAAATATTACATTTGGTAAAATCTTAAGAAAAGTAGGGATTTTTTTTACAAGTACAACATCTAGTAGAAGTGCTAACAATGATTAAATGATGAAGCTTAGATTTATTTTAATTTTTACGCTTGTTTTTACTCCTCATGTAAAGTTTCATTGAGCAACTCTAACATTTGAACTTTTGACCTTTAAAACCCAAAGAGAGGAAGATTTGAAAGGGGGTAAAGTGATGTGTTTAAATGTTTTTTCTATAATGCCCCTTCAGGAAACTTTGAGCTGGTGAGCTTGCTTTTGGAGAGAGGAGCAGACCCCATGATAGGGACGATTTGTCGAAATGGTATCTCCTCCACCCCGCTGGGAGACATGAACTCATTCAGCCTGGCAGCGTCGCACGGACACAGGTGATACAAGTCAATCACACCTCAGCACTGTAAATCCATCCATCACCGCAGTATTGATCCCTTCACACGCCCTGATCCATTCCATCTGTCGCTCACAGAAGACATCTCAGTTTCTGTGTAGGAGGGCAGGTGACGATGAGCTCCACAGTCTGTTCAACTGCACTTTACAGCCTCGGTGCGGCTGGATAAGATAAAATCCATTAGTATTCAGGGCGGAGGGGAAATGGAGTGGAGCGAAGAGCAACAGCAGCAGCACAATGCAGCATTATTAAGACAATCAATTATGGAGGTGGTGATCACGCTGCAATATGTCGCCAACAGCTTGAAACCGAATTGGGGCTGGTTCTTCTCACACAGACATCTCTATGAGATATTCCTCAGTTAAAGGTTAATATCCTTAGAGTTGTTACACATACAGGGTAATTATCTATTATACTATGTTTTAATGTTTTCCGAGATCATTATTGCTTTTAAGGATCAAAATGGAGACTGTTTTAGAAATAAAGACTTGCAACCCCACATTGATTAGTATCAAAGGGCTGTCTCCCTGCACACACCAACTAGCTCCTCCTCACTAAAGCAGATGGTTCAGAAATGCATATTGGGTTGGGTTCGCACCGCATTTGTTAAGTGTTCAAATCCACTCTTAACAGATCAGGACATCTGTTACCACTGTTGCAGCAACATGCTGCAGAAATACTGTGATGCAATAGCAGGGCTTCGGTTTTTTGGGGTTTCTGCAAAAAAAAATGTTTTACACTAACACAAAGACTGTGGCAGCTTTTGATGTTGGCTTTATGGGAAGTTGCCCAGGATGGCATCAGAAAATGGGGCGTACAAACACCAGATTTAAAAAAAGCTAAACTAAAATCCACCTTTTAAAACTACAAAGTACTTTAGAAATCACATGATATTTCCCTGTAAAGATTTATATAGAAATAATATAGACATAATTTTTCCTATTTCTTTTGCAGCCTGGTATTATTGAGTCGACATTCTCATCACTTAGTAGCCAGCAACTATCATACTGTTAAAAACGGTGTATCACATCTAGTCTCTTTAAACTAAAAATGAAATATATTCCTAACCTCATCTATGGTCATGAACTTTGGTTCATGACCGAAAAAATAAGATCCTGGATGCAAGCTGGCAAAAAGAGTTTTCTAAGTGGTGTGTATGAGCTCAGTCATCCGGGGAGGACAGCAGAGTCGCTGCTCCTTCACATCGAGAGGAGCCAAGTGAGTTGGCTCTGGCATCTGGTTAGGATGCCTTCTGGACGCCTCCCTGCTGAGGTGTTAAGGGCACCTCCCAATGAGAGGAGACCAAGAGGGAGACCCAGGACGCACTGGCCTGGGAATGCCTTGGGATTCCCTCGCAGGACCTGTCCCAAGTGGCCGGGAAGAGGTACCTCTGGGCATCTCTTCTAAAGCTGCGACCCGAACCTGGATAAGTGGAAGAGGATGGATGGATGAAATATTAAAATAAATAACCAAGACAAAGTAATGCTGAGTACTTTGAAAGGAGTACCCAAAGTAAAACAACTTTAAATAGTTTTACTTATGTAAAAGTACAAAGTAGTTATCCAAGAAATTAATGGCTACTATAGAACTGTGTTTTGGCTCTTAACATCTGATTTAACCTTCAGTATATTTAAAGTGTTACATGAAAATTCTGGTAATATGATTACAAAATAAATTTGGGAAGAATAAAGTTTTCCTAATATTTTTTAACATAAACGTATAAACCAATCCTTCCAGGAAGTTATGCATATTTGAATTGCTTCCAGCTACAGAATCTACTGTTTACTATATTTTCACCTGATCTCTAAGAGCACAAGGTATTCTGGTGGGTAAAATAACCTGATATTTTACCAAAGTAAGAATATTAAAAATAAAAGTAAAATCTACAGTAAAGTACAAGTACTCCAGAGAATCCAATATGATAACATACAATAATGTACTCAAGTAAATGTACTTGAGTTGATTTAGCTAGTTACTAATCAAATATCAAAAAATGTGTGGATTTCTCCCTCTGAATATTTGGAATATACTATTTTGTTTTAAAGAGCAGTACAGCAAAAAATACAAAACAGGTAATAAAAAAAACAAAAACAAAAACAAGATGGAGTAAAAGTATCAAAACTCCAGTAAGTAACATCCACCGGCTGGAGGACGTCAGCTGATCTTATAAAAGAGCAATGGGAATCGCATGTTTTGTAATCATTTCAGAAAATTTAGCTGAATTTAAAGTAAAAAAATAATAATAAATGTAAAAAAGAGGGATCTGAGATGTTTTGTATTTATTTTTCTGTGAAAGTACATACAAATAAAACTGGCCCATGTTTAAGTACATTCCTCTGACCATTTCCAAAAACAGAGGGTGAATGGGAGTTAGTTGCAGAAGAACTTTGTCCTCTTTGGCTGTATATTTTTCCATTTTAGTGTTGTCTGTGTTTTTCTTTTGCATTTTCCTCCGGAGTAAAGAGTAATTTAAAAAAAAAATAATAATAATAATAATAATAATAAACAGATTTGGGAGTGAGAATATGTTGGAACATACAACAAAGTATTAGGGCCATGCTAGAGAATTTTTTTTTATTTTTTTTTATTTCGAGAATAAAGTCTTAAAATGATGAAAATAAACTCATAATATTACGAGAATAAAGTCATAAACTCACAAGAATTAAGTTGCAACGTGAATAGCCATAAAATTACGAGAATAAATAAAAAAAATTACAAGAATAAAGTCTTAAAATTATGAGAATAAAGTGATAAAATAACAAGAATAAAGTAAAATTATGAGAATAAAGTTGTAAAATTACAAGAATATATTCTTAACATTACTAGAATAAAGTTATAACATAATGAGATTAAAGTCCTAACATTATGAGAATAAAGTAAAAAAATTATGAAATTATGAGAATGAAGTTGTTAAATTTTGATAATAAAGTCGTAAAATTAAAAGAATAAAGTCCTAAAATTACAAGAATAAAGTAAAAAAATTACTAGAATATAGTCGAAAAAAAATGAGAATAAAGTCATTAAGTTACAAGAATAAAGTCGTAACATTACGAGAAATATTCGTAACATTACTAGAATAAAGTTGTAATATAATGAGATTAAAGTGGTAATTTAACGAGAATAAAGTTGTAATAATATGAAAATAAAGTTTTATTTTATGACAAGCCTTACAAAAAGCCCTTTCTTCCCTAAAATGAGGAATGTCGAGCATCATGTGAAGTTATACTTTGGCTCCAGTTTGACAAATAAGGAAATCTTTTAGCACAGCAGCATCAAATCGGGCAGGATGTGAAAGTGGACTCAGGCTGCTGATTGGTGCTGCTGGTCGGAGCTGGAAGCTTTCTTTCTGAAACGGGTTGTGGTATAATGACTTCATTATCGTTATTTTTCAACTTTATTCTCAAAATATTACGAGTTTATTCTCAAAATAAAAAAGATAAATAAAATCTCTACATGGCCCTAATACTCCGTGATAGAAACAGTATGTCATGGAAAACTTAAATTCAAAGAGATTTCAAAATGAGTATATTAATCTCTGCTTTTGTTTTTGTATTTAGAATTAACTAAATTATGACAAAACAGATTAGAAATAACCATTGGTGGGATGTCTATGGTTGTCCAATGTTTGATGCCATATTATTTCATGTATAAATTGAATCTTTCTCTGTCCTTGTATTCTCCTCTACCTTTCCCCTTCTTTTCCAGGAATGTATTCCGGAAGCTTCTTTCCCACTCAGAGAAAGAAAAGGGGGACGTTTTGTCGCTGGAGGAGATCCTAGCAGAGGGTTCGGATCCTGGAGAGAAGAGGCTGACTCCTCAGGCTAACTGCAGCGGGACGCTGCGTACAGGAAAGGCCAGACTGAGGGCCCTGAGAGAGGCCATGTACCATAGCGCAGAGCATGGCCATGTGGACATCACCATTGACATCCGCAGCTTAGGTCAGATTTACTAATGCATGCCTCAGTGGCACACATGTCCCACTCTGTGGTGCCTCCAGCTGTCCTGCAGATGTGCTCATGCTGTGCCCATCCTGTCCCTTCCTGTTCCCACCCTCTGCCGCTCACCCGACCATAAAACAGGAACCTTTCTATCAGAGGCGATAATAGTGTGGGTTTAAGGTGTGAACAGGATGATGGAGCTTTGTTCCCCCGCTTGTCTTTTAAATGTGGCTATCATCAGCTTTCCAACACATTCATCTTAAGATTTAAGTTTGTGTCACACTACTTTGCTCTTGTTGTTAAAGAAACCAGCTCATTGGCTTCAATACAAACAGTTATCGGGTTTAGTATCTGGGCTGAACATTAGCAAAAAGCATCCAAAGGGAAGAGGAAAGTAAACAAATTAGGGGTGATGGAAGACCTCAGTGTAAATTGTTTTAAATGTATAAAGACTTTCTTTTGCTCCATTCTGCAGCGCTGCATGTTATAAAGCTACTTTCTTGTAGCTGCGTTTTTAATTTCTGTTTTTTTGTTTTTTCATTATTTTGCTTTCACTCCTCCTTTAAAGAGCCAACTCCTAATAAAGCAGCCACCACAGATAGCTCCCAAAAGTAGTTAGCTTTTTCTAAAACGTGATGCCAGTCGAAAGTTTACACACACACACCTATGGAAGAAAAACAGTCTCATTGGAATCTTCCTTTTTTTATATACCATATTTTAAACACTGAATTGTTGTAGCACTGAATTTTAAACACTGATTTTTTTTTTTACACATTGAATCCCTTACATTGAATTTTTATCTGGTAAAAACTTGCCTGCAAAAAAAATCAGCTGCAAAATATTCAGCTGCAAAAAAAAATAGTTGCAAAATATTCAGCTGTTAAATAGATATGATTACAAAATGTCAGGCAGCATTTGATAGACAGCCATTATGGAAGCTCATTGGTAGAATTCCCTTATGACAGAAAGAAGGCCACGATTCACACCATTTTATCATCCGGAGGGGGGACTCATTTAATTACAAACCGAATTCATACAGCTGTCTTAAAACACTTCAATCATTCAGCACTGCATTGTCACAATTCTGTTATCCCCCCACCTTCAGTCCATTCTAGGCGGCATTTATAGTTTCCACATGGCATTACGTAACTGCACATGCACAGGAATATCATGTCGAAAGCTTACTGGAATTCACGTGGGCTGGTCTGCGTCAAAGTCACTCCGACCCTCAAAGAATGTTTATACAGATGTTCTCTGTTTTGCCAAACCTCCTCAAACATCATTTAATTGCGTACGAATAAGGCATTAGGGACTTTATTATTGCTAAGACTCATACTTGACCTTTAGCATGTACTGCTTTGTTGCTAAGTAAGTATAGGGCCACGCGTAAGGATATATATATAAGACAATAAAACTGCTTCTACACCATTAGAGTTTTAAATCTAATTGGACTGGGTGAAATAACTGAGCAGATCATAGCTAGTGCGGCACCCCTATCTGCCAAGACTCTTGGTTTGATCCGAAAGAAGCAGCCAGTGGCAATCTTTTCTTTTTTTTTTCTGACTAAACAAGCAAATTTTATTGGCTAGAAGCTGCTCGACTGCACTTTTTTTGCAGGCAATTTTTATGCAGCTGAATTTTTTGGAGCTGATTTTTTTTTCAGTCAAATTTTTTTGAAGCTTTATTTTTACAGATGATTTTTTTTACAGGTGAAGTTTTTTGCAGGGGATTTTTTTTTTTTTTTTGCAGCTGAATTTTCACTAGGTAAAAAATCAGTGTAAGGAATTTAATGTGTAAAACAATTCACTGTATTAATTTCAGAACTAAAAAAATTCAGTTTTTAAAATATGGTGTAGAAAAAAGGCAGATTTCAATGAGACAGTTTTTCTTCCATATACACCAATCTTTCACATAAAAGTGCTATTAAATTTGGACTTTTACAGCAGCCAATGTCTTTTTTTAGCAAACCTCCAGCATAACTTTAACTCCACATTAGCAGCTGAGCTGTGTGTTTGGGTTCACAATCCAGTTAGAAAAGCTAATTTTGTGCAAATTTCAATCTCTTAGTTGTTTATTTTAGGTATTAGATTTAAATAGTCCCACAGCATACTGCACCACTGCCTTACTTTACTGATGGTAGTGTTTTTTTATATAAATGATTAGATTTAAGACTCAGTTTCCTCCTCCAAAAATGCACGGCCAGACAGCTCCTTCTTAACTGGCAAGAAAACGTTGCTATTAATAGTTTCTGTTTCTTGGTTTTCTTTGGATCTTCTTCTAAAAAATTCTCTTTAAAACTGATACAGTGGAATTTTTGTTGATACAGAAAGAAAGTTTAAAATAAACATTAGAACTCGTTTCTAATTAGATAAAGCAGTCGATATTAACTTCAAGGTTAAATTAGCTGCATTTCCAAACTCATTTAATATTTGGTAAAAAGTTTTCAAACTGGATTAATCCCTGGTACGATGCCAGTTTATCTGAACTGGGCCAAAATAAGAACATAATTTCATGTTTTATCATTTTCTTAAGCAGAAAGAGTTAATGTTAAGGTTGCTGCTCCGTGCTGCTCCGTTGCAGAACTAGAAATGCTGCAGTGACTGTCCTAATGGCCCGGCATTGCATCATCATTTCCTATGAGATGAGGACTTTTGCCATAAAGAGGAATGTCAGGGTTTCCCTTCCTGACCTGTAACCCTTAAACGGCCACCTGATTTCTAATAAGTGCAAGACAAAGTATTAAAGCCCAATCAGTTAGGATGTGAAGAATAGATAAGTTAATTGATTAGGGCTTGTTTCAATAGATTCATCTACCTAAAATTTTTAGCAGAGCGGAGGATAGATAACCAATCTTCCACCTGGCTGTGACTTTTGCGCATGCTTGGTTTCCATCAATCCCATTAGAGCCATTATTAACAAGCACTTCTAATTAAATCTAGACGCTCCATTAGTTTTCCATTGAAACCTTTGATTTTCCAATAATCCAACACTCATGCACTCGTCCTTTAGCTGGCCTAAAGGGATGAAACATGGTCAGTCTGTCTTCTGTTTATCTGCTTTTATTGTTCTTGAGTTTTCTGTATTCACTCTGTGGTGTTTTTGTGTTTTCCCAGGCGTTCCTTGGACGCTGCATACCTGGCTCGAGTCCCTGCGCACATGTTTCTTCCAGAACCGCCGGCCGCTGATCCAGGGCCTGCTTAAAGACTTCAGCTGCATCCAGGAGGACGAGTACACGGAGGAGCTGATCACACACGGGCTGCCGCTTATGTTCCAGATCCTCCGAACCAGCAAGGTCGCAGGGGGCTTCCTCTCATAGCAACAAAACTCTTGTTTAGACTACAGACAAAAGACAGGCTGGCTTCTTGGGAATTGAAAATGAATCTATTAGCTTCACTCCAAACTGCATTATCGCTCATTTGCATTGTACTTTTTTTCTTCGGTGTTTGCAGAAGCAAGACAAAGGTTGTAAAGCTGAAACATGTAAAACATTAATGTGCTTAATGATGCTGCTGTGTGTGTTTGCAGAATGAGGTAATAGGCCAGCAGCTATCAGTCATTTTCACCCAGTGCTACGGACCCTTCCCCATCCCCAAACTGACAGAGATCAAGAGGAAACAGACCTCACGGCTGGGTAAGTTAGCACTTGGTCAAAACAGTCTATATTTTTTCCTTTGAGTCTGTGACACTTTGGGATCCTGAATCCTTCCTTTAAGCTGGAGCTCTCAGTGTGAGACTTAAAAAGTCTGGTATAGTTATAAAGTGTCAAGGAGAGATAGCAAATTAACATCCATCCTATTTTCCTCTGTGGCATAAAACACCACAGTGCTGTAAGTCTGTACTCCACAATGGCTGGTTGATACAAACTAATCCTGTGGTGGTCTTACTTTCAGGAGGGTTCTGTCACCATCTAGTGGTCAGAGTCTGAATGACATCTGGATCATAATTGATCTTATTCACGCGTTTTTGTTTATTTTTTTGAGTTTGGTGCATTTTTACATTTATCTATAATACAATAATGAGCAATAGGATTCTTAAGCGATTATTTCCATAAAATTTCAGCCGAGTGGTTGAAACTAGAACCTGCGCATTTTAACCTTAGAAATAGAAATAGTTCATCTAATTGACTGTAGGTGAAGAGAAATGGTGGTAAGTCAATAAGCATTTGTACATTTTTTTACACTTTTTTAGACTGTTATGCATCGGGGAGAGCAACCTCTGCAGCAGAGTGATTTGCAATATTTAGCTGTATTTGAAGCACTGTGAAGGCATTGTTAGGTCAAATAAAAGTATTTTAATCAGTTTTAAAGACCATTTTGACAGAAATGTGCATCAACAAAATGCATACATAGCTTAAGACTAAAATATGTTTTTCATTCCTTATATGCTTTAAACTTGCCTATGAGGATCATAGTAGGTGTGATATTAAAGTTAACCACCTCTAGTTAATGATCTTAAACGGGATTTAATTCTTCCCTCGGTGGTAATCCGGAGTTTGGATCCTTAAATCAGTTTTTTATCACCGGACAAAAAGGGTTGAAATTTGGGTAGATAATGAGCTGTTTATTTTCCAAATCTGTGATATATTACTTACTTAATACACTTTTATTTGATGTATTTGAACAACGACAGAAAGTTAAGTTAATGTTAGGTTAGAAAAAGTTTACAAGTTCATTGAGAAGTTCACAGGTATTCACTACGGGCACCCATGTATTAACGTGGAAGCTTTAAAGGAATTAATTTAAATATATTTTTTTCTCATGGTAAAAATCATTAACATTATAATTATCCTGAAAATTGGCCAAATAAATTAGAATATGTACAATTTATCTGGAAATTTAGAAGACTTTGAAGAACAATCATAGGATTCAAATAATCGGATTCATAATTTAATTCCAAAGACAATAAAATTAAAACATTTCTTTTGTTTTTATAAAGGTTTGGGAATATTGAGACTTCTTCTTATTTTTAATGTTACAACAATCATTGTTTTGAATGTTATTAGTTAATGAAATAATAATTATGAAAGAAATTATGTATTCTTGATACTTTTGACAATGTTATATATTATGTATTGAGTTAGATTTAATCTTAATCCTTAAGAGACATCTTTCATATTAAGGTTTTAAAATATCTTGAGACTAAATAAATGAATAGTCAGATTATTTAGTTTATCACAAAAAATGTTCAACAGTCAGCTTAATTTAACACATCATTGCTGGGAATGATTTATGAGATGTTTTCTGTATTTAGGCAAAAAAGATACACAGTGATGCAGCGCCACCTGCTGTTTTCTGGATAAAAGTAGATAAATTAATGTTGCATTGAAAGAGCTGCAAACATTAAGGAGGGCTTGGTAGAAACTTGAGAAAAATGTTTATGCGGCTCATTGGAACAACAGTTTTAAATGCTAATTGTGGATCCTCGATGTGAGAAATGGCCGCATTAGCTTATCTTCTGCTTTTTGCTGTTTCCTTAATTTAGTTTAGTCGAGTAAAATCATTTTATGGTTTGATTTTACTCCAGACCCCCACTTCCTGAACAACAAGGAGATGTCTGACGTCACCTTTCTGGTGGAGGGAAAACCATTTTATGCACATAAGGTGTTGCTGTTCACAGCATCACCCAGGTACTGAAAAAAAACACGGCTTATATGACATGTTTGCTTTTATTCAACAATGTCTTCAAGACTATTTAATTTTCACTTTTCGGTTTTCACCCAGGTTCAAGTCCCTGCTTCAAAACAGACCAGCAGCAGAAAACACATGCATTGAGATCAGCCATGTCAAATACAACATTTTCCATGTAAGACACTGAGCTTTTTCTACTTCTATTTAAACATAGGACTTGAGGAGGATTTTTATATTCTAAGTGTTTTAACTAAATGCCGTTGCTTTTACCAGCTGGTCATGCAGTATCTGTACTGTGGAGGCACAGAGTCTCTGCACATCCGCAACACAGAAGTGATGGAGGTAAGAGATGCTGAAAATATGCCCTGAAAGCAGCTGCATTAGTTTGAGCTGTTCTCTAATCCTGCATCTGGGTGCACCGTCCTCCGCAGCTCCTGTCTGCAGCCAAGTTCTTCCAACTAGAGGCCCTTCAGAGACACTGTGAGATCATTTGCTCCAAGAACATCACCACTGAAACCTGCGTGGACCTTTACAAACACGCCAAGGTGGGAGTGCATCACAAACTGGGAATGTTTACGTATCTCCAATACTTGTTAATACCTAAAAACCAGAGCTGATTTCACGGAGGCTGTAATTCATGGTGTTGCAGTTGCTTTGACAAAGCACCGTCTTCCTGATAGATTGATGTGTAGTTTAATCTGTTCTAGTCCTAAAATTGTACTTTTGTCTACATTTTGAGAGAGGGCTCCATAATATTATCCGGATATTTTACAGCGCTTTTCTCCTGCTTCTGTTCAGTATAAAGAAGCCCAGGATTTTAGTTAATAGGATACATTTACATAGTTGCATGCATTGTTGGACAAATTAAATCCCAAAATGTGATATATTTAATATTAAAAGTTACATTTAGGAAAAGGCATTATAAAATTAAGGTGCACGATAATTTGTCATGAATTTCTGAATCACAACAAATATAGTGATATAGAAAAAACAAAAACCTTTAGGCTACATGACATAAGCTCTCTTTCTGTGCCTCATTTATTAGCTACTGAGTGCAGTGCTTCCACAGAAGGACTTACAAAGTCAAATTTCCATGAAATGCAACATGAACATAGTTTATACTATTTCAAAATTAACATTAACCCTTTAAAGCCCGATCCAAGAATAAAACAAAACAGAAAATTACTTTTTGTTGGTTTGAAGTCCCTATTTGGCCTTTTAACAAAATATGTAAAAAGAAAAAACAGAAATACATTTTTGATATTAATAATTTATTACTATTCGATAAGTCAAGATTATTTTTGTGTAGTCTTCTGCCCTCTGTTATCAGGTATATCTGATTGCGTACAATAGGATTTTGAGCAAAGTTTTTACCATTAAATTATGCAAAAGGTGTCAGATGCAAAACAACAGACTCTACAATGTGACACTACAACGGCAATAACCTGTGCAATTTATGATGTTCAATTACTATTTGATACCCTGTGCAATAACCTGTTTCTCTATATTTGACACCAAGTGCAATAACTATATAAATAAATATAAATATCCCTCTATATAAATACCCATGTAAGCACCCTATGCAAGAACCCTATATAGTAATCCTAATATAATTTTTTTTTTAATCAATCAATCAAATTGACATGTTAAAGCAAAGTTAGCATTCTCTCAGCACGTTAACATCACTACATCATTATGCGTATTTTTTTGCTTTTAAATATTTATAATTAAAATGTTTCAAGACTCTTAATTAAGTGATGATTGAGATCTCTGTGGAGTTTTTTTTTTTTTTACTTTTTCTTCTTTTCAGACTAATGTGGCTTCAGCCACTGCCAAATTAAATTACGTCGATCACCAGCTTTTACCCACTAGGTTTTCTAATGAAGTGAAAAGTTTATAATTGTACAAATTTTTGGAAACTGTGTCTTGAATAAGCATCTGAACGATTGGCCTCCAAGATAAAGAATTGTGCTTTTTTTACCAGGATATTTTTCACCTTTTGATGAATATTTGCCAATATAGGAATTGTAGAAAATAATGGGGGGAAAAAACTCATTTAAAACTGTCAAACTCGGAATTTAATTCTAAAATAGGAAATTAAATAACATGGACATTTTTTTGAAGCTAACTCACTTCAGAATTTCAGTTTAAGATCTCTGTTTTCCCTTTCTCCTTCCCTCATAACAGTTCCTGGGTGCCTTGGAGCTTACGGCTTTCATCGAGGGCTACTTCCTGAAGAACATGGTGCTGCTGATTGAACTCGACACCTTCAAGCAGCTTCTGTACGAGCCCCTTCCTGCAGAGAGCCCTGCATCCAGCCCCGGCATCTGCTCTGACATCCTCCACGACCTGGAGAAGACCCTGGCCACCCGCATCCACTCCATCCACCTCTCCACCTCTAAGGGCTCTGTGGTGTGACCACCGGCCTGCTCCCATCCACTCGCAGCATCTATGTAACACCCATTTAGCAATCACCGTCCTGCCCAGTCAAACTGTAGTTGGATAACGCCAGGAAGTCCCTTTAATTCTGCTGCTTGTTGAAGGTTAATGTTGACGTTTGTGACTAAACTTATTCTTTGCCTTGAACTCCTGTCCTTTTGGTTCCCGCTGTTCACTCCACATAAAAACCAATAAAAGCAAACCTGGCTTGATCACATAGTCTGATAAAAATTCAGCTCTGAATTGTATTTCATACAGAACTCATGCATGAAATACATATTTTAAACTTTTTTCACTTAAAGTAGAAATTTAACTCGATTATTAGAGCTCTGAAGTTTACAACACATACATCAGCTGGACTTGGAGGCCTTGGCAGCAGCAGATTCAATCCCCACTATACGACCACTTGAAGTGACCTGTAGCAATGTCAGGAGGTAAAACTTTAAGGTGGACTTACTCACACTTCAATCCGTCGGTGTGTTTTTCCTGGACATGTTTCACTGTGTTAAATCTGCCGCGCTGCAGAAGCCAAACCAATCACATGAACTTCCGCTCTGGCCGCCGCTGCAGAGCCGATTCAAATAAACACGGCCAGCTCGCTGAAATCTATGCTGACTCGATCCCTTAAACTCGGATGTCTGACTGGGAAATGATTTCTGTTTTTGCATGACACCCTCTCTACTGAGCTGCCATTATGTTGCTTTTTTATGCACAGCTTACTTCATGGACCAAATTGAGGAGATTGCTGCTGAATGACTTTTTATCCACCGCAAGACATGGCGGGATTCTGAAGCTGGACCTCACTTTGTAGGTTTTTTTTTTTCTGAAAGCAGTGTAAATATCTTCTGATAAACATCATACTGGTTGTAATTTTTTTGCAAGCTGGGTATCAAATCCCCCCACACGCTTGCTTGGCTGATGACGGCGGTTCCTGCTAAACGTGCTCCCTGCTGTGCGTCCGAATTATGCAAAGCTGCATGTTTAACCCATCTGTGTGACCCCTGTGTTTTTGCTTTAGACGTGTTATATAAAACATAGGACTGAGTGGGATACTGGTTGTTCCAGTTTTAGTCAAGCTGAACAGATTTCCATGGAATAATGTGGTTCCTTAAACATTCCAGATGCGGATAACGTTAGCCTCAGCATCGATACTGAACCTTTTCAAGACACCATATCCCATTTAAACTGCCAGCTGTTTGTTAAAACATTACTTTAGCTGCTGTTCTGTACTTTGACATCCATTATGAAAAATGATATTTGATATACATTTAAGAAAACTATACAATAAATTGTCAATATTTGGTTAAATTAAAGTAGGCAGGTAAGTTGCAAAAAGTGAAGGCAGTGCTTGCTGTGCAGGACCTGAATAAAGCTAGAAGAGATGCAGAGGATGAGCAGATGAACCAGTGACTAAAGACATAAAGAGGAATCGGAAGAACTGAAGAGTGGAACTAGAATCACAAATAGAGAAGAGAGGAGACCAAGGGAAATAAATGGCAGAACAGGAACTGAACACAGTCAGGAAAGTAATAAGCAGTAGACAAAAAAACAACTACTGTAGATATTAGAAACAGAGACAACAGGGGGAGTGGGAAACCTAGAAACTTTAGGAAAACAGGCAGCTAAGAAGAAAACGGAACGATAAGGGACAGATGGACCAAAATAAAACAGGAAGTTACTGATAAAGGAAACCAAAGATAACTCAAAATGCAAAAAAACAATAATAAACAAAGTCCAATACATGACAATGAGCAGATAAAATGTAAACATTTTGATTCTTTTCAAACTCCTTTTATTATTTTGCACAAAACATGTTTTTAAGCATTAAACAAAAGATATGAAACCAACATGCACTTTCCAGCTGGCCTTCCAAGAGTTACTTTGGCTTAAAACTACTTGGTTAAAAAAAGTTTTCATGTTTTTTCTGTTGCAAAAGGTTTCCTCATATCATTGATCAAGTTAAAATTCAGCTGTTACTTAGACATATGTGTTAAAAGTAGCAGAGGTTCAAAACTAGACACTGAGTAATGCTAACAGATGTTTATCCTTTCTGCTCAGATGAACAGAAAGTTCTCAAATTGATGCATTTAGCTGTACTTTGCTATACAGCTAAAATAGATTTAATGAATGTAACACAAAGATTTGTAAGACAGAGATTTTGAAAGCATGCAATTTTCCCAATCCAGCAACACACCAAAAAAAAAAAGTTTCTGTCCAGCTTTTACAATGCAAATGTTTGTTTCATCCTTTATATTGTCATAAAATATAAAATCTTCTCGCTTCAAATATTGTAGCACACAAAAAATGACTTCAATATTTTACTTTTTGGGCCCGTTTACAAATTTTTAGAACATTTAAAGTTGTGTCGATATTGACAACAAAAAAATAAATAAATAGATGTTAAAATAAAAACTTTATTTTCTTATCTACATAACAGTGTATATTTTATTTTACATTCAGCTGTTTTGTTTTACAAAATAAAAGCGTTATATTTAATAATATAGAGAAGAAGCAATATTTACATTTAATTGTGTTCCCATGAGATTAGCTAGGATGTAAATGTGAACTCAAAGAGATGTAAATTAAATGAGTGATTGAATATCGCGCATATATTTTTTAGGGTTAAATATCCGTGGCAGCCCATGGTGTATTTTTGCTTTAAAGAGTTTAATGTATGTTGATAACTTCAACGAATCATTACATATTCACATATTTTAATGGAAACGCTTTATTTGAAAGATATATATATATATAACCTGATGCAAACCAAGGTTCATGATGATGTCAAGCACTTTTTTGTGCCAGTGTTACTGTAGCCTCACACAATCGGAGTTTTACAAGTGAGCTTGAGTTCAAGTCTTATTGTGACCCAACAGCAGCTGAGTACAACACAAATGTGACAATAAAGTCAGAGATTTTACGCTTATCTGTTTTTGTTAGTCTTAATGTTATGCCAGTAGCAAAAAACAAACAAAAAAACTTAGCGTGTCCCATTTCTGGCATCTCTGTCCCAAAAACCGGGTCAAAGCTGTAGAGTAAATGTCAGTTTGCATGGCTCTTCTTGTTTACTGTTGTTGGGAATGTGTTCTGTACTGCAGCTTTGTCTAAACGCCCTCCTTTGTGTTTGTCTGAGAATTTATTATCCTGAGTATTTGTTACTGGTAATATACCCTAATTTTCCTTAGACACAGTGATAACTTGCATGGGTTAGTTCAAATCCACACGGGGATGAAACTTTTGCTACTTTCCTTTGAGGGGAAACTGTACATTGTACAAATTATATATACGAAATATAAATTATACATGGTGTAAGAAGCAGAGATGTGGTGGAGTATAACAACAAAGAGAAATGTTACACTCATGCTGCGGTTTCTGTCATTCCATGACATGCTATTGTGGACAGCTAATAAAGACCTCAGTTTAAAAACCTTTTTTTTTGTTAGATTTTTATTCCTGGTTTTTCTGAGCCTTGCTTTCCACCTGAACTTTTGCTGTATTTTTGCATTAAAAAATAATGTTTTTTTTGCAGGGGGGGAAATATAATTGTGAGTTGAGCAGCAGATATTTGTTTCTTGCCCCTTTAAACGACACCAAGACCAGTTTTTGTTACAGGCAGGATGATGATGGCTTCATTTTATAGCAATCTTAGTTTACAGATACATAGATTAGGTTTTACTACCACCTTAACCCCTTGAACCCTACGGACCCACCGGCGGGTCCAGCTGCTACGTGACCTCGTAATCTTACCAAACCCCCAGTATTGATGTAAAAAACATATTTGGCACAGTTTGGTGACATTTATGGATAAATGTGCCAAAATGGCCTCTCCGCCTAAGAAATTTCTCACTAATACCATTCTAAAATAAATATGATTCATCCGATTGAGTCCAGATTTGGTATATTTTTACACAACATTTAGATTTGAAAGTCTGTACTACTTTTTTGTGCTATAAATAATATTTTGGTAGTGTTTTGCAATGTTTATTTAAAAGAAAATTTTGGCGAGGTTCAAAAAATGCAAAATATTTTGTATTTTGTCCCTAATATTTCAGGCAGGGTCAAAGCTACAATGGTGCTGACACCAGAAAACCATTCTATGACATCTTACCTTTACAGACGTACCAAAAGTTTCTTCTTAAATCTAATAGCTGTGAGGCTATAAGTGATTTACTTTTGTATGTTTTTGTCAGGCAGAAATTTATTTATACCCCCTTAGGGTGTAAGAGGTTAATCCAATTACCTCACTTTTAGGGTCCCATAGTCCCAACAAGCTTGGCAAAGATGATCAGAGACTGACCTTCCACTTATAAGATCAGTTAGAACACATTTGAGCCAGATACCAACACAACCAAACTAAAACAAATGATTTGAGACATTAATCCAGCTGTGTTGCCACACTTGCTGCCTGCAAATGCAGAAGCTTCTACGCTGTGTTGCGAGCTTAAGATATTTTACAGAGAAGGTGCAAAAATCTAACCTGACTCCGCCAGATGGATTTGCTCTGCATATCCATCTGGAAACCTGCCGTTGAAGTAATTTTGGGAAGGGGCGAAAATACTGGTTAGCTGATTGGCCTATGTTGGTGATAGACGGGCCAAATAAACCAATCAGATCAACAAAGCATATGACGTACTAACAGAGCGACGACGAAGAGGAGCCAATTGATAGATCAAACTCTTGCCTAAACCAGTCGGGAGAAGAGCAAAAACATCTTTTCCTCTGAGAAAAGCCTCCAGAGCAGTGTTTTGCTCTTCTTTCAGTGAAGAAATACTCTGTAATTCCGATAAAACTTGCTCGATAGCCACGCTAACACTAGTTTCATCGGCTGAAGCCGCCATGTTCTTTAGACTGAACTGTCACGCTTCTCGTTGCGTCACACCTCAACCCGCCTCAAAGCCAACGCTGATTGGACGTTCGTTTGGTGAACAGCTCCAAATTTTCTTTAACGGAGAGTCTCCAGACTGATCTGCGAGTGAAACCTTGAAATCTTGCGAGACCAAGATGGTCTCACGAGGCTAGCAAAAATCTTTCTCTAAATCTAAATGTGCAAAACATACCCTGAGATCTACAGCTGACGTGATTGGTGGTGCTGACTGAATACAGACTGAAAACTGCACAACCCACTTATTTTTATTATGTAGGAATTCGTATCGACATTATAAACTCCTGTGTCACTCAGACATTTATTTTGTGCTTTTAGGAGAAACGTATCTAATCCATCTTGACTACTGGTCCTGATTACCTACTTGAAAAGCTGATTAAATGATTAATTTTGAGTTATCTTTATAAAGCTTTTGAGTTTCCTACACAACAAAATGTGTCCATGGTGATTAATATGTTATAATACACTTTTGTTGCAGTATGTCGATGACATACAGGCTATTAATACAACATAAATCTAATTTCAATCAACCCAGGGGCGCAATGGCGTAACTATCGGTAAGCAGAGACTGCAGTTGCTTAGTGGCCCTCGATCTCTTAGGATTCCCGTAACTGACACCGGGTAGACCCCCTTCGCAATTATGGACTAGCATGTCTCATTGAGTATGTAAAAATGCGAAAAATTCCTTTTGAAACCCAAGTGATTTTGAGATGACTGACCGGACCTTATTTATACCTCAACACATGCCAGATTTCAACATGATGGTGAGCCGTTTAAACACGACACCTATAGCAAAGCAGACAGTGGTACTTTTAATTACTATGTTAATAACTGTTTATAGTTCATTAGACGGTTGGTAAAAAAATACACTCATATAATGTTTCAAACCACAATAAAGATCTTAAAAGAACGATGTATTTGAGTATTTTATATTTTACACTTCGACCTGGAATTATGGGTAATCCAGAGAGTAGGTGGGGAACAGGGTGTTGTACTTCATATGGGGCCCACCCTGATAATGTTGCTTAGGCGCCTATTGTAGCGTCATTACGCCATTACAGGGGCGTCAACTGGGTAATATTTGATGTGGATCTCATTTGTCAGACTATTGTATTATAGTTCACTAATATTTTCTTAACAGAAATTTAAAAAAAATAAGAAAATACAATATATGTACATTTTTTGTTGTTTTTGGAAAACTGCTGGAAAATAAACCAGTTTTTCTCCTTTTTTTTAAATTAAAAGCCTATGACATTGTTTTATAAAAGACGAGCACTACTTTCCATAAAAGTTGTAGAAATGGCTTATATTCATTCGAAAATTAAAAGAATGACCTTTTTAGGCCGGTATTATTTATGCCAATTACAAATATGTTCTCATTAAAGCTGCAGTCTGTAACATTGAGAAGAGAGCAGACTTAGACTGAAAATTTGAAGAAAAACAGGTTTCACGCCAATCCCCCACCCTCTCTGCTTCACTCATGCCCCACCTCCAAGCTCCACCGCTCTCAAAGCATCTGCGCGGCTACCGCATGCGACCAGAAGGGGGGGTGGGGGGGTGGGGGGGGGCGGGATTCAGCGTGTGTGAGCTGTGATTGACACTCCATCAGACGCTCCTCTGGCTGTGATTGGTTGTTTTGACTCGTCCCGAATTATTCTTTCCAGATTGAAATACAGGCAGTAGGCGGTACCAATTGAAGCAGTTTTTTTCACAGGTTACATATCACATGTACTGCTGTCTGGGCATAGGGACAGTTTTAGCCAATATGACAAAAAAGTGATTTTTAAAAACTTACAGACTTCAGCTTTAACAGAGAGAGTTTCACTTCTCTATGCCCTCTACTTACATCTTCTTAGGGGCGACAGTGGCGTCCGGTGTGGGATTTTGCCCTGAAATCGAAGGATTGACGGTTCAAGCCTTGCTTCTGGCTACAATGTAGCTTGCCACCATCGGTGTGTGAGTATATGGGTGAAAAAGGGCTATATAGGTACAGGCCATTTACCATTTCTCTACATAATGTGCGCACTGCTGTTCCAAACTGTGGCTTCCAACTAGTAATAACAGAAAGTGAATCCCCTAGCACAGGATGCGTAGCTGGAATTTTTATAAGGGTGGCCAGACAATACCCAATGAACACTGAGGGGTCGCCGAACGTGGATAGGCGCCAGAACTTCAGGGTCAATCTACAGTGTTCCAACAGGAAAATTAACGCGCACAACATCCATATTCTCTAATTAAGACAAACTGTACTTTCCTACAACCTTTGCTAACAAATAGACGAATATATTCAAACTTCTGTGCTTTCTAGATAAAAAGGTATAGTGGATACAATTCTTTCGGTTGTGAGTTCTGGGGCAAACATCTCTTCCCCTGTCATTACTTACCTACTTTATAAACAATTATTCTGCATAAAATGGATATTACCAAGTACTAATCTCACATAAATTGATCAAGTTTGTATTAAAATAGTTATTTATCTATGATTTCACTGAAGACTCCCAGATGACTTTCAGAGACACACCATTTTCTCTTTACCCCATATAACTCTGAAAAGAGCACGAATTATCATCTTTAATGTTAGTATATTGATGTGCATAATTAACCACATTGTTTTTGTGGTCAAATAATTGTTATATGAAAAATTAAAATTTTTTTAATATTCCACTTGAGAGTATAACTGCTGCTACCGTCTGTATTAGAGGGGGGGGGGGGGAATGGCAGGGGTGTCCAATGATTATCTAAGGGTGGCCCTGGCCCCCCATCTAGCTTTCTATCTACTGGTTCTCACTTTGTTTCTACATTTCTATTACGATCTATAACATTTGTTGATATTATTTACTGCAGTAAGTATGTGTGGGGAAAAAAAGAAAAAAAAAAGAAGTATGTTTATGCACTTGGCTGGCTTTTCTTTTTACTGAGTCTGGCACCACTGGATGGCGCAGACCCCCTTTGTCTCTTAAATTAATCGGGAACTTATTTGATATTCTATTCCTTGTGATATTAGTAGATGGTGTGGATTGTGATAAATAAAGTAGATCCAATTAACATTTGAATCCATGATCATTTCAGAAAACAGCCTCTGATTAAAAATATTAACCTCAAGACATTTTATTTCTCCCACAGTAATTAAATCCTGTCACATATCAAGGTTAAAACAGAGGTGTGTTGTGTTTAAAGGACTGGTGGCGAGATTCTCCTACTGCGCATGCCCAGTCTGTATAGAAGACTGTCGCGCCGCCCTTCGTCTCCGTCTCTGCTCGCTCTGCAGGCTTCATGTGAACACAGACCTGAAACGGTCCTGGAGTAAACTGTTTGTGGCAAGCGATAACTTTGCGAAGAGCGATGGAGAGCCTGGATCACGTGGAAAACGGTAAGCCAATGAGGATGGATGCACTCTTTGTTCTTAACGAGTTATAAGTTGATGTTTAGAAGTGTGTGCGCCCCATTTTCAATATGGCGTAGCTCGATTTGGGAGGTTGACGGTTGATCTCTGCTCCACCAGAAGGCTGCTGCGCGCTCAGCATAGACTTGAGGCCTACATTTAAAGTCAATTAACCTTAAAGTTTCGTTGATTTTTGGTAATTGTACACTAACTGAACTTGTTTTAACGGTTGTGCCCGCACATCGTAACAACTACTTGCTGCTGCGTTCAAGGGTTTTATTTAGACCGGTTTTTCGCTAACTTATTTCTTTATCTTAAAGACAACCTTTTAGAAAGTGAAATTTGAACTAACACGCCTTATAGAGCTCTTGTTAAAACTTGTCAATGTTTTTTTTCTTCTTTTTTTATATAATGTGGTTCAATAGAGAGATAGGACCGATTCGGCTATAAATCGGTTAAAAGCGCAACGCGACTTTACGACAGTCTTAAACGCAACATGGAGACCTGACTTGTGCCTGAACTAAATTGAGCTCCATAAATGCCAAAAGTTAAGTAACCTAAGTTGTTAAACTATTACTTAATCGTCCTGATTGTTAACCTAATGATTACAAATAAATCAATTATTACTTTAAATGACTGCAGACACAGATATATACCCTTTATAGGGCAAGTTACTTTTTTGATCACTTGCATACCTCTTTAAAAAAAAATTGTCCCTCTCCTTCCCTCAGTGAGTTCTGGAAGCACTAGATCTATATCCTACATGGCTATAAATTTTATTTTGGCATTTGACCAATTAGATTAGCCCTTGAATGATATATTACTTACTGAAAATTAAGTTGGAAAAAAGTTAAGTCAAGAAAAAAGGTAAAAATCTAATTGAAAAGTTAAAAAGTAAAGTTAAATAATTAATAAACCTTGTTAACAATTATATTTAGGTTTATAAACTTAAAAGTAAGTGACAAAAAATGTTTCTTTTACTCTCTGGGTGTTTTTCATGAATTTCTTATAGAAACACATGTTATTTTTCTTAATATATTAATTCAAGTTAATACGGTCTTTTCAAGGATTCCAGTAAAACTATTGGCTTGAATTTTTTATTTCCAAAGTATTTCACTGAGTGCCCCATAAAGGGTTAAGTATAAGTACTATCATTTAACTTTTTTTTTGTACCAACTCTGCTCTAGTAAAGATAATCTGTGTTCACTGTGCAAGTTATTAATCAGAAAATAGGTTCTATTATGAGACACTATTACAGTTCACCTTTTTCATGTCAATAAATCAAAGCATAAAGTTGGAGCTCTAATTTATCTTGTTCAAATGAGTGCAAAGTTTATTGCTGAGAAACAGTTTGCAATCTCCAACATATTCAAAGAAGAGTTAAATTTTTGGGCCTAAACTCTGAAACTAATGTTTGGTAAATCACCAAAATGACACCCCAGTAAAACACAGTATTAGCAGCAAGATGATTGATTGTTTACCTTTCTTTTTCTTTTTTCTAAAAGTGGATAAAGTTCACTTTCAGCTTTCAGTGCGTTTTGATCCAACACTTATTAGAGGATTTTAAAAAGCTTAGGATGCGTTTAATTCTCCAGCATCTGAGTAAGTCCAAACATTACTCCCAAATTGTAAATGAAGTTTCAGAATGACCTAACCGTGCTTTCGGTTCAGATCTGTGTTTATCACAAAACCAGCTCAGTCACCTCCCAAAATCAACTTGAAATGAATTCTTCATCTCCATAAAGCTTTTCAGCAGATGAAAGCAGGAAGTGCTCCAAAATCTCCTGATAGCTGCATTGACCCTGCCCTCGATAAAACACAGTGGACCAACACCAGCGGGTGACATGGCGCCCCAGACCATCACTGACTGTGGGTACTCGACACTGGACTTCTGGCATTTTGGCATTTCCTTGCACCTTGATTTCCAAATGAAATGCAAAACTGAGCAACAGTCCAGTGCTGCTTCTCTGTATCCCAGGTCAGGAGCCTCTGCTGCTGTTTCTGGTTCAAAAGTGGCTTGACCTGGGGAATGCTGCACCTGTAGCCCATTTCCTGCACACGCCTGTGCATGGTGGCTCTGGATGTTTCTACTCCAGACTCAGTCCACTGCTTCTGCAGGTCCCCCAAGGTCTGGAATAATCTTCCTCAGGGTCCGGTCACCTCTTCTCGTTGTGCAGCGTTTTCTGCCACTTTTTCCTTCCCACAGACTTCCCACTGTGGTGCCTTGATGCAGCACTCTGGGAACAGCCTATTGGTTAAGAAATATCTGTGCCATACCTTCTTGCTTGAGGGTGTCAACGATGGCCTTCTGAACAGCAGACAGGCTGACAGTCTTACCCATGATTGGGGTTTTGAGTGATGAACCAGGCTTGGAGTTTTAAAGACCTCGGGAATCTTTTGCAGGTGTTTAGAGTTAATTTGTCGATTCAGATCATTAGGTGCATAGCTTGTTTAGAGACCTTTTTCATGATATACTAATTTTATGAGGTGGGAAATTTGGTTTTCATGAGCTGTATGCCAAAATCATCCGTATTAAGACAATAAAAGACCTGAAATATTTCAGTTAGTGTGCAATGAATCTAAAATATATGAATGTTCAAGTTTTATCATTACATTATGGAAAATCATGAACTTTATCACAATATACAAATATTTTGAGAAGGACTTGTATATTCTTTTTATTTATATGGTTTTTTTTTCTCCACTTCAGGTGTGTTTATCGGTTTATTTGTGCAGGCTATGTATCAGAGGTGTTGGTAAATCTTGCTTCCCCTGTTTATCCTTACGTCATAATGAGGCTTTGTTTTTTCAACATTTTATAAACATTTAATTAGTTTCCTGAAATTTTCCCTTCAATGTTGATTCAAGAAAACCAATTAGAATTTTTCTCTTTTTTTCTAGATCTGCCTCTTCAGCTTCCGTCTCTTCGCCTCTTCATCCCTCCCCTGCGGTTAGTTTCTGGCGCCATGTGGCACACTGTGCAAAGCAGAAACATTCAGGATTACGGGATGGTGGAAAAGTTCGTCAGCACGGTCACAGAGATTCTGCCAGAACTGTTGAATCCGGAGCAGAAGGTCCAGCTTGTCCTTGGACTCCGAGCGCGAGTGAGCAGAGATGTTTATTAATGGTATCATAAAGAAATGGAGACGTGTGAAGCTGTTTGAGAAAGAACTTAATTTCTTGCAGGTGGTTCTTGAACTATGTCGGTCTGAGCAGATTCCAGATACAGAGTCTGTGAGGAGGCACCTGGATCAGATAAGGACTCTCATGTCCACATGGGCAGCACAGGTTGGCGCCTCAAATGATATATTCCGGATTTTCTGATTTTTTTCTTTGTGTTTTAACTTAAACCTTCTGTTCCCAGCCTTGTTTTGCCAATGTCGGTCTTCATCGCACAAACTTTGTGGATCAGGTGGAACTGATGTTAAAAGACCCAGAAGAGAAGAAGAAATTCTTCCAGGTTCGTTCAGAATTACGTGATGTAGAGCATGAGGATGATGTTTGATTCTTTGGCATTAAAATGAATTTGTAGGTGAACTGTGATCATTGTCCTGCAGGATGTTTTCCCCACAGATTTTGGAGCCGATTATGACGACAGACTGCTGACGCTGATGCTGGATTTTGTGTCCAGACTGGATAGGCTCCTCCCTGTACCAGACATCCAGCAGGTATAGGAGCCAGACAATCATAATTTCTCTTTAACTCTTAACTTGCAGACTAATTAGTATTGTTTTATTTTAGACCGCATACCTTCTCAGTGCAGTGCCTTCTGCTTTGGAGGAGTGTTTTCGCTCGGTACCCGACTCACAGCACCTGGCTGCTGTCCTGCGCTACCATGCATCGCTTGGATGTATTGATTCCTCTAGTGAGTTTTCTCTGCATGTAACGCTCTTTGTCACGTGCTTGGTGTGTGCAAACATAATTCCAGTTTCCTTCCACTCATCATCAACGTGGATCTTGTCTTGTTTTTGGGTTTTAATGGTTTGTTTTAATAATAATATATTATCTTATATCTTCTAAGGAAAGCGAGCTAAAAATCGACCGATACAGATTCGTATGGCTGAGGCTTACAATTTTGACATGCTAATATCGACATGCATTAAATATAAATACTTCTTGTATTTATATTTAAATTATGAAAAAAACGGCCACATTATCTTTAAGTATATAATATGTCATCATATTCTAAGGGCAAATCAGATCATCTTATTTACTCGCCCAGATTAATGGTAAATGCACACAATCATTTTCAGAAAGTTTTACCATTTTTACATCAGTTTTCGCTTTATAGACTCACCACATGATGTTGCAGCTGCTATGTATATTCTTAAATGTTTCACTCATTAAATTAACATTCAGGGTAATTCTTGAATGTTAATGATGAATGGGTTTAACATTAGCAGAGATGCAAGTGTTTATTTAGGCCTGAATACTTGATTTTCATCTGGATTAGCAGAAAATGAATTCATTTTAAACAAGTTAATGTTTATAGAAGCGGTTGAAGTGGGGGACGTTGCCACTGAAATGAGCAAGAATGTGAATTATTTTTATTTCCCAACAGATGAAACTCAGACGATTTCATCCTCTGCTGGGACCTCCATCCTGTCATCCCTGTGTCTTCCTCAGCTAGAGCATCTCATGATCTGTTCCGACCCAATACAGACACGGTCTTCTCCTGACAGCTTGACTGTTAAAGTGGATGAAGAGACTGTGACATTGGCTGATGATGCTCAGCCTTCTAGTCCAATTGAGCCCAAAGATCCTGAAGAATCAAATTTGGAAGCAGCTATTCAAGAAGCACCTCATGGGGACTCTGGTGAGGCCGCAGAGCCTCCAGACCTTCAGCCGCCACAACAAACCAGGTGGCTGCGACTGAGGAGAGCTTGTAAAGAAAAGCAAGATCCATCAAAGCCTAAAAGAGTACGAAGGAAATGCCTCAACATTAAAACATGCCCCATTTGCAATAAGACTTTTCCTCGAGCTGCAGGCATGAGACGGCACCTGGAAATACACAAATCAGAGCGGGATTACAGTCACGAGTGCAGCATGTGTGACAAACGATTTAGAGACCAGTATGACCTAAAGCGACACACCATGCGTGTCCATGAAAAGGGAGAGGTGGGTGCCAGCAGTAGAGGCTGGAAATCAAAAGAGTCGACAAATAACACCTGTCCTCACTGTGGGAAGTATTTCGCCTGGCAGAGTGATCTGAGGCGCCACGTAGAGACTCATTCAGGGGAGCGACCACATCACTGTTCTTTGTGTGACAAGAAGTTTAAAAATCCATACGCCTTGAAGTCACACGAGAAGAGCTGCAAAGCCCAGGAGGAGAAAAGGGCCAAGAAAATGGAAAAGGAAAATCCTGAGACGTCTCCAGAGGTTTTAACGGACCCTCCACAAGGTCCGCAAGAGGACATAGACAGCAATCCGCCTTTATGTACGGAGCCGACTCCATATATGCTGCTATCTACTGAAGTCTCAGTCAGACATAAAGTCTGTCCTGTCTGCAGCATGATCATTAAGAACAACAGGGACATTAAGAAGCATTTACGATCTCACTCTGAGGAACGGCCGTATGTCTGCCTCACGTGTGAAAAGGGATTCAAGTACAAAGACACCATAAAGAAGCACCAAACTCTGAAAGGCCACGAAGGCATCAGAGAGGTGCAGTGTAAGAAACTGGAGCGGCTTATCTCTGAGGTTGAGGCTCAGGGCACCGATGATACTGGTGGACTTGAAGAAATGAATCCAGATGCATCCGAGGATGCTCCAAAGGAGAGTCTGCCTGTTCTGAAGATTTCTAAAAAAGGGCTGAAGGTGTGTCCCATCTGTTCCAAGACCTTCGATATGATAAAAACCTTGAACAAGCACCTCCAGTCCCACAGGGTTGATCGGCCGTATTTTTGCGTCCACTGCAAAAGGCGTTATAAAGACTTGTACGGACTCAAAAGACACCAGATCTATGCGGTTTGTTACAACAAACCCCCACGTTACTCGCTAAAGAAAGGGCCCAATCAAAGTGAAACGACCAATACGGATCTTCAACAAATCTTCGTCTGGTGCTCCAACTGCAGCCAACACTTCGAATCCCTGTCTGCTCTCAAGGAGCACCATAGAACCGTGTGCAGAGCCGAACCAACCGTGAAGAAGTGCAACGAGTGCGGGAAGGAGTTCAAGAGTATAACGATGCTCAAGGTGCACAAGAACATTCACAACCCGTTGTACTGCAAAGACTGCAAAAAGATCCTAGCCGACGAGCCCGCCTTCGAGCGGCACAAGTTGTTGCACAGACCGATGCAGTGCACCATGTGCGACAAGACTTTCATCATCTCCAGGCGTCTGAGGGAACATTACGAGAAGGAGCACAACTTTACAGGGCCCTTCCCGTGCACTCAGTGCGACAAGATCTTCGTCCAGTTGTCCTACCTCATCATCCACCAGCGGGTCCACAGAGGAGAGTTTCCCTTCGTCTGTGACAAGTGTCCTGCAAAGTTCAGGACTTCCTCCTTGCTGACAGTTCACCGACGGAAGCACTCTGGGGAGAAGCCTTTCCTGTGCTGGCAGTGTGGGAAGTCTTACCGCGCTGCCTCAGACCTCTCCATGCACATGGGAACCCACTCTGAGGAGAGACCCTGGTCCTGCACTCAGTGCGATATGGCTTACCGCACAAAGGCACAGCTTAAGAACCACGTGGAGCAAGTCCACCTCTGTATCAGGTTCACATGCGCCACCTGCGGGAGGCAGTTCATGAAGGAGATGTCGCTGAAGAGGCACGAGCTCACTCACACAGGCGAGAGGCCTTTTCCCTGCACAGAGTGTGGGAAATCCTTCCTGACGGGTAACGAGCTCCTGCGGCACAGCAGGTACCACACCGGGGTGCGCCCGTACAAGTGCGAGGTGTGCTGCAAGGGCTTCATCCAGTCAAGCTACTTAAAGATCCACATGCGCCTCCACACAGGAGAAAAGCCGTATGCCTGTGACATCTGCGACAAACGCTTCAGATTGTCTAGAAACATGCAGAAACACAGGAGGACTCACGACGGGAAAAAGATCTTCACATGTGAGATCTGTGGATTCGGTTTCGCCCAGAAGAAATTGCTGAACGAACACTGTGTCACCCACGAACAGAACATTGAGAGGGGATACACAAATGAAATCGAGTTGGAATGTCAATAGAGGTTTTCAATAAACATGTTTAAAATGTCCTAATGTTTTTTGAGGCATTCCTATTCCTTTGTTAAATTGTTCAGAGGGATGTTTTCAGTTGACCTTTCTCTATCATCTTTAGTCAACGACATTGAACTAGAAGATAAGAACTTCTATGAAGTTGGACAATGAAATTTTTATTAATATCTTCTACTGATTCAATAATAAATTTGTAACTGTATTCTTTTTTTCTCAGGCTGCTGGAGTTGTCCTGACCTTCTATTGTTCTTAGATTCTAATTAAGCCCAAAATAAATGCTGAATTGTTTTTTGGTTACAGAAAAGTCTAATTTTAACTAGTTATTGGTCAACAAATGTGCAACAATACTATAAATCATTAAGCAAATATATAAAGTTATTGCCAAATTATCTTTTCATGTTATTTTTTTTATTTTTACTGTGTTGAAGTTTTAAAGCAGCCCAGTCAGTCCCAACTGATATATGCAGATATATTCAAAGCTGATTGTAATGGAAATGAGGCATTCCAACCTTGAAAACATAACCAAAGATTAATCATTAAAAATAATGCAAAAAGTTTGCAGTTATAAAGAATCATTTGTCGTCCTGTCCAGTAAGATGTTTATTTTTATTTTAGAAGAACGTGAATAATTTTCATCACGCCAAGTTCTTCTAGGTTTTATGGCAACAGCTGTATTCTCATGGTAATAAATGTAAATGGAAAATTTCAGTAATTACTAGGTCATCTATGCATAGAATTCTTTCCTATTATCTCCCAGAAACAAAGTACTTTAGTAGATGAAAATAATTTTTAGAATCTAATGGTTTATTTCTCTATTTTATAGAGTGCAAGTTTTTATATTTTATTTTAAATCCCTGCTTTGTATGGAAATTTTAAAATCCAAAAAGTGTACAAGGTGTCGCCATTTCCTCACACTATTAAAACTCTCGATAATTACATGAAGAAAAAGCTAAAGATAAATATGAAAGGTTTGAAAACAGAACTCTATATTACCTACTGTGTGTCTGTTTTCAAAATAACAAAGTTATGGACAAATTTTGCTGAAATTTCCAGAGAAGGGTGCGTATTGTGACTGGCAACAAATTATTACATTTTGGTGATGTAAATATAAAAATATACAACTTTTTTTTTATTATTTTGTAATACGATACAGATTATTCAGCTTTAAGAAATGACCCGATACAATATTAGTTTGAGTCATACTAGTTTCTTTTACTTATTTTATACTGTAGAACGTTAGGGAAGGCTTTATGGAGTAATGGGACTAAAGCGGAACAAAAGTCGTTAACAAAAAGAAATGAAAATGATTGACCCATGTAAAACTAACCAATGAATTAGAATACTTTAACCGAAGCAAAGTTTCTATTAGCATAAAAATGAGATTTTAGATACTGGCTGAAAAAAAAAATCAAATATTCATTTTTTGTCTGACATTGGACTGATAATATCGCATCGGGACATCCCTAGTATTAAATTTAGATGGAGGTCAGAATATGTTCGGGGGGTTACCTATATGGTTGTGGTTGGCGCTCTCTCTGTGCTTTTCTAGTGTTAAGGTAACAGTAATGTAGAGGAACTCTGAGCCTGTTTTCCACTCAAACGAGCACAAACAGGTCAGTAAAAGCTTTGCCTAAAGCTATGCAGAGAAACAGGACTAAGGACTGAAAAACAGACGCAACTCCATCTATTATCAAAGTTGTTGATGTAGCTAACCTTTACTAACATGACAGATAAGCTGTTTCTAATGTCTACAAGTGTTCCTATTGTGCGTATTAACAATGCTGGAAGTAGTATCGCCATGACAAACTGACATGTTAATTGAAGAACAACTTCCTTGATCGCAACACATTCATTAAATTGGTTAGTAATAGATTGCCGCCTTTATTTAGTATATTACAGCCATCCGGGACTGGTTTGTGGACCGTTTGGTAGTAAAGAATTACAATAGTCCAGCTTTGAATTAACACATGTTGAATAGTTTCACAGCATCATCTCTGAACAAGGTCTTTCTCATTTTTGCAATACTGCGGAGACGAAAGAGGGAAATTGTAGAGAGCTGTTTGATAGGTTTTTCAAATGACATGTCCAGTTAAAAAATAAAACCAAGGTTTCTTTTACATTATTATCAGAGAACCAGTTTAATTTCATCCAGATAAAGTGACTGATCAAAGTATTTTTCAGACTCTGATCCAAAGACAATAACTTCTGTTTTGTCTGCATTCAGAAGCAGAAAGAAAAGAGTCATCCAGCTTTTAGTTTCTTAAAGGCCTTTAGTCTGTGTAACGGGTTAGTTTCGGCAGGATTTATGGACAAATATAGGTCAGTATCATCCGCATAACAGTGAAAATAAATCAATGTGTCTAATAATTCTATAGATTTATAGCATATATGTTGTAAATATAATAGGCCCTAGCACTGAACCCTGTGGTACTCCACAGGTAACCCTGAAGCTTGGCGAGGATTGTTAACAAGAACAAAAAAAAATCAAGTAAGATTTAAAGCAGCTCATGGTTATTCCTCCAAATCCCACAGAATATTCCAGCCTTTCTAAAAGAATGTTGTGATGGACCGTATCAAATGAAGAGACTTTACATTATCTGAGGCCATGAGAATATCTTTAGTGACTTTCATCAGTGCTATGATGAGCTCTAACACTAGACTGAAACTCTTCCAAAATGCCATTATAATTTAAGTGCTTACACATTTGATGAACAACTATTTTCTCAAAAGTTTTAGATAAAAATGAAGATTAGATATAGGTCTGAAACTGACAAAGTCATTTGGGTTAAGAGCTCATCATAAGAGATTTTTAAATTAAGGTTTAATTACAGTTACCTTCCTCAAAAAACCTAGTTGGAAAAAGTTCTAAAATACAAGTTGAGGGCTGAAGATCATAATTGATCAATTGGATCAAAACAGTCCAAACCCAGTTCAGGTCCTATAGTTACTTTTCTGTAGATGCTGCAGCCCCTTACAGAGATGAACCAATTTAAGGGATGCCAAAGATAGTATTTTTAATAGAATCAATCGTATTTATAAAAAAATACCATAAAATCATCACTACTAAAAGCAGGAGAAATGGACAGTTCAACAGAGCTATGACTACTTTGTAATATGAAACTGCACATATATGAATACATATAGTTCTCAGATAATGATTAAAAATGTTATGGTTCAATAAAAAATATTTTGTTTTATATAGTATTTGAATGTTTAGTCTCATCGTTATGATCCAATATTAACATATCGTGTTTCATGAACATAAAAAGTTTGTTTTGTTTTTATTTTTTTATTTTATTGACATAGAAATGGTCGCTTTCCCTTTGAATGAAAAAATTCCTCTAGGTGGCAGTGGTGAACAAAGACGACCGCATTTAACCATGTGAAGAAGGACATTTGTAAGGAGGGCTGTAAAAAATCTTTTTTATATTTATAATCCTCATATGTCATTAGAATGATTATCTAGTGTAAGAGAACGACAATATTTTTACCAATATAGCACCAAATAGTAATATAGGCATTTTTGTTAAAATCCTGCGCATGCGCACTACGGATAGGGTTGAATTGTTTCTTCCTCTCCGCCTGAAGCTGGTTGCACCGCAGGGTCGGGCGGACATCGACTCACAACGTCCCCGAATTGATTTAATTTCCCAACCAAGTACTTTTCGGCACATTATGGAGAGGCCAGAACATATCAGTAATGGTGAGTCCACGAGCATATTTATAGCATTGGTTTCTACCGAGTTGTTGGTTTATCTCTAAGGGTGTGTGCGCCCGATTTCAAACATGGCGTACGCCGCTGTGAGATGGCGGTTGGTTTTTGCTACGTTGCACCGCACGCAGGGGAGCTAACGTTCTGCAGATGAGCGTGAATATGTTCAGGTTGATACTCCGTGTCATGGTCCTTTAATATGGGCTTCAATTGGTGTTATGCACCTTTAATATGGTCTTCAATTGAAGTTTGGATTTATGGTTTATTTTATAACTATAAACCAACTGCTGATAATTGTTGCCTTTAAGTCATTCAGCTTACACCACCTCCAGCAATGGTTGCCCAACTTAAATCTAAAGCGACACATCTACTATATGATAAACACGGGGTGGTTTTTATCACTAACTTGGATATTATTCATTAAGTAAACATCCATAACCGTTGTATTTCTTCAATTTTTTGACCTCACTGGTATGGTACATGGTTTTTACCACACGGGTTTGTGTCAGTGAACGCACCAAGTTTATTTCTCTGGAAGTATAGGGCTCGGGATCCGCTTTGCATTCTGGGACGTGGTTGCCATGTTGACGGCTACGCTAACAATTTCATAGCGCCGACATAACGTATTTGCACGAGGAAAAGCAGAAGAGAAGAACGATGTTGAAGTCCCCAAAAGGATCCGGAATTTACCGGGATACACTTAGTAGAGAAGCCAGGGACCGGTATGTAGACAAAATCAGCATCATAAATAATTTGGATCCGTATGAGGTTCCAAATAATGAGTGGAGCACCGACGACGAGTTGTTGCCACTGTTCTCCTTCTCGGACGTCTTCGGCTACCTTGTTTGTGGAGTATGCGCATATACCTCAGAACAATACAGAAGCTACAAGTCCTTGGAGTCGCATGTGCAGTTCACCAATGGATGGGTTCAGGAGCTGCAGATCATAAAGCCAGCAAACACTGGGAACACAGTGATACGCACCAAGGTAAGCTGTGTTCAGACGAGCTCTGACAACTGCTAGTTTAGCAACTTCTAACCGCTAGTGCTGACAACCACTCACGCATGTAATGTTCTTTTAACTAGCTGCTATGTGTTTCAAAGGTGTAGTTTGTAACGGTAACTGCCAACCCTCCGGGTTTCTCACGTATCTGAGCCTTTTCTTGCTGCAGAAGGATCAACATGAACGTTAGCCAGACCCGGCTGCAGAAAGAACTTAAAGGGGGGGGGGGGGGGGGGGGGGCATTCCATTTGATTTACTTCAAGCTTAACACTAGCTTTGTGACCATTCATTCAGTGAAAGGAATCTCAAATCTTTATCAAAGCATTTATTCAAATTATTTAAAAAAAAATTAAGAATAATTTGCTGAAATAGAAATCAGCATTTGTTTGATTCTTAGTGTTAGAAAAAATGTGTCCTGACAGGTTTTCTGAACCATCTTCTAATCTAGTCTCCCCCAGCTGCTGGTAGAAACAAGATTTTTTACCATCATTCAGAAACTGGATAGGTGTTACATCTGTATTTTGTTGAAAATCATTTATTGAACATTGTTATTAATACAATTTTAAGGAACAGATTAAATAGTCAAAGATCCGCAAAATATAAAAAAATAAACAATAGTGCAGTGCTGTGGCCATTCAAGTTAACTCCTAGTTTGAATCAGAGTCTTTCAAAGGG